TCATTTTTCTCTGTGAAATTTTTAAAATGGTTTGATATTCTAAATTGGTGCTGTTTTTTACTTCCATCTCTATCTATTTGACATGTAAGTCATGTATTTGCTTTCTAGGTTTCATTTTAGGTGTTGGGGGGTTTTTTTTGCTACTTATTATGGCAACTGGCTATAGTTTACATCATTTAAACTTCTGTTTGAAATTGTAGGCTATGCCCATGTTCTTTCTTCCATCTGTCACTCATTTTTCATTATGAATAACTTGTTTGATAAGGGCAGGACTGAGTTGTTTCAATTGCATTCCACATCTTTTTCTCACATTTACTTTTTCTTCTAACTTTGTACTTTTGATTTTTGCCTTTAAAGTTGGTGAACTAACTATATACAAACAGCTAATTCAGAAATAAATCCCACATCAGGAATGAGTTGTTTCTAGTATGTTTAAATGCAATCAATTTCTTTTGTGCGTGTGCATGTGTGTGATGTTATATGGTATTCATCATGTCTAGAACCTACCAATTATTTTCCTGAAGAAGTTTCTGACGCTATATCTCATATATGCTATGTTCAGCACTTACCAATTATTTTCTTGAAGATAACAGGCATGAAACTTCTGTGTACTCTATACATCTTTAGCATGTCTCGTTCCTTATTCTTTTTTTTTTTGCTTTTAATTATTAATTTATTTGGTTTTAGTTTTCAACATTCATTACCACAAGATTTTGAGCTCCAAATTTTGTCCCCATCTCACCCCTCTCCCCACCCCAAGACAGCATGCATTCTGAATACTCCTTCCCCTAATCTGTCCTGCCTTCTATTACACCCCCCTTCTCTTATCCCCTTCCCCTTCTATTTTCCTGTAGGGAAGGTTAGATTTCTATATCCCGTTACCTATAAATTTTATTTCCTCAGTTGCATTTGAAAACAACTATTAACATTTGTTTTTAAAATTTTGGGTTCCAAATTTTCTCCCTTCCTCTCTCCCCAACTACCCTCATTGAGAAGGCAAGCAACTCGATACAGGTTATATATGCGTAGTCATGCAAAACACTTCCATAATAGTCATTTCATAGAAAACTAACTATATTTCCTTTCATCCTATCCCCTCCCATTTATTCTATTCTCTCTTTTGATCCTGTCCCTCTTCAGAAGTGTTTGTTTCTGATTACCCCCTCCCCCAATCTGCCCTCCCTTCTATCATCTGTCCTTTTCCCACCCCACTCTCTTATTCCTTTCCCTCCTATTTTCCTGTAGGGTAAGATAGATTTCCATACCCAATTGAGTGTGTATGTTATTCCCTCCTCAAGCCAAATTCAATGAGAACAAGATTCACTTGTTCTCTCTCACCTTCCCCCACTTCCCCTCCACTGTAAAAGCTTTTTCTTGTCTGTTCATGTGAGATAAGTTATCCATTCTACCTCTCCCTTTCTCCTTCCAGTATCATCTCTCACCCCTTATTTTATGTTTTAGGTATAACCCCCTTCGTCTTCAACTCACCCTGTGCCCTAGATAGATAGATAGATAGATAGATAGATAGATAGATAGATAGATAGATATTCCCTCTAACTGCTCTAATACTGACAAAGGTCTCATGAGTTACAAATATCATCTTTCCATGTAGAAATGTAAACAGTTCAACTTTAATAAGTCCCTTATGATTTCTCTTTCCTGTTTACCTTTCCGTGCACCTCTTGAGTCTTGTATTTGAAACTCAAATTTTCTATTCAGCTCTGGTTTTTCCATTAAGAATGCTTGAAAGTCCTCTATTTCACTGAATATCCATTTTTTACCCACTTTGATTACATAGTTTTGCTGGGTAAGTGATTCTTAGTTATAATTCTATCTCCTTTGACTTCCAGAATATCATATGCCAAGCCCTCTGGTCCTTGACGTAGAAGCTGCTACATCTTGTGTTATCCTGATTGTGTTTCCACAGTACTTGAATTGTTTCTTTCTGGCTGCTTGCAATATTTTCTCCTTGACCTGGGAACTCTGGAATTTAGCATAATATTTCTAGGAGTTTTCCTTTGAGGATCTCTTTCAGGAGGTGATTGGTGGATTCTTTCAATTTCTGTTTTACCCTCTGGTTCTAGAATATCAGAGCAGTTTTCCCTGGTAATTTCTTGAAAGATGATGTCTAGGCTCTTTTTTTTTGATCGTGGCTTTCAGGTAGTCCAATAATTTTTAAATTCTCTCTCCTGGATCTATTTTCCAGGTTAGTTGTTTTTCCAATGAGATATTTCACATTGTCTTCTATTTTTTCATTCTTTTGGTTTTGTTTTACAATTTCTTGATTTCTCATAAAGTCATTAGTTTCCATTTGCTCCATTCTAATATTTAAGGAAGTATTTTCTTCAGTAAGCTTTTGGACTTCCTTTTCCATTTGGCCAATTCTGCTTTTTAAGGTATTCTTCTCCTTATTGGCTTTTTGGACTTCTTTTGACTTTTGGGTTAGGCTATTTTTTAAGGTGTTATTTTCTTCAGTATTTTTGGAGTCTCCTTTAGCAAGCTGCTGACTTGTTTTTCATGATTTTCTTGCATCACTCTCATTTCTCTTCCCAGTTTTTCCTCTGCTTCTCTTACTTGCTTCTCAAAATCCTTTTTGAGCTCTTCCATGGACTGGGACTGATTAATATTTTTCTTGGAGACTTTGGAGGTAGGAGCTTTGACTTTCTTGTCTTCTTCTTATATGTTTTGATCCTCTTTTTCACCAAAGAAAGATTCTATGGTCTCACTTTTTTTTTGCACTGTTTGCTCATGTTCCCAGCCAATAACTTGAGTTTTAAACTCTTTGTTAAGGCAGGGGTCTGCTTCCAGTGTAGAGAATGTACTGTCCCAAGCTTCGGGGGTTTTGTGCAGCTATTTTCAGAGATAGTCTAGGGACCTGTAAGTTTTCAGTTCTTCCAAGGTAGTATGATCAAGGGTGAGGTGTTTACTCCTTTCCTGGACTGTACTTTGGTCTATAAGTAACCACGAGCACCCTTTTCTGCCTTGGAACTATGAGGAGGATTCTCTCTGCACTGCCACTACAAGCCATCATGCCAGCGCTCCTCTTCACCCCAGAACTGTGACTTAGATCCAAGCACAGGCAAAGCAAGAGAATCCTGCCTCAGCACCAGCAAATATATCCCTGCAATCCTTCTCTGATCAGCCATTCAATTGCCCCTCCATCTGTGGACTGAGAGCTCTGGGAGCAGCTGGGACTGGGACCATACTTTTATCTCACTGCAGTCCAGCAGAACTTTCCTACTGACCTTCTAAGTTGTCTTTGGTGTTTATGGGTTGAGAAGCCTGGAAACTGGGGCAGCTAGGTGGCGCAGTGGATAGAGCACTGGCCCTGAAGTCAGGAGGACCTGAGTTCAAATCCAGCATCAGAACAAACATTAGCTATGTGACCCTGGGCAAGTCACTTAACTCCAACTGCCTTAACCTAAATAAATAAATAGATAGAATTTTAAAAAATAATAAAGGGGCAGCTAGGTGGCACAGCGAATAGAGCACCAGCTCTGAATTCAGGAGGATCTGAGTTCAAATACAGCTTCAGACACATTTCAAGCTGCTTCAGCTAACTACAAACTTTGCTATGTACTCCAGTTGCTGAACCTCTGGTGGCTCTTTTTTGGTTTGGTTTGGTTTGGTTTTTTGCTAGGCAATGGGATTAAGTGACTTGCCCAAGGTCATACAGGTAGTACGTGTCAAGTGTCTGGTCTGAGGTCAGATTTGAACCCAATTAATTCGCCACCAAATGACTAGTCTACAGGTGATGAACCTCTCCATACTCAGCTAGCATAAAGAACTCACTTCCACACCACAATTAGCATTGGAGTAAGACTTTGTGGAGAATAACACATACACAGATAAATAAATTTTAAATTCCAGGAGATGATAAATTATAGCTGGGAGATAGGTGATGACCACTTTTCTTTTCGCTATTTCCATGACAGCATTTCAGTCAGTTAATAAACGTTTATTAAGCACATACTATGTACCAGTACTGTGCCAAGCATATCCCAGGTGACCTCTCCATTCCAACAGCTTCATGTCCCTAAGAATGGTTTCAGGCTGTGCAAAGTAATTACAGGACAGAAAGGAGCTTGGAGAACTGGGAGAATTAGGAAAAGATTCCTGGAGAAGGTAGCATCTCAGGTGAGTTTCTAGAGGTTCCAAGAAGTGGAAGAAGGGAAGGAGAGCATTCCAGACATAGACAGTCCATGCAGAGACAGGGATATAAGAGATGGAAAAACATACACAAGAAATAGTAAGGAGGTCAATTTGACTAGAATATAGTATGTGAAAAAAATAATGAGTAATCAGCCTGGAAATAGAGATTAAATTTGTGAAGGGCCTTATCAATTGTGAAGGGCTTTTTCACAATAGTCATATTGTGAATGGCTTTAACCATCAAATAGAGAAGTTCATATCTTATCCTAGAGGAAATAAAAAGCCAACCAGGTTTCTTGTGCAGGAAAGTGATATAGTCATACCTATGCTTTAAGAATATCAAATGTGGCTGCGTAGAAAATGGTACAAGAGAGAATAGACTCGATGCAGGGAGACCAATTAAGAAGTTCTTGCATTGTCCAGATGAAATAGGACAGTTAGCTCTGTGAGTGGAGATAAAAGGTCAGATGTGAAAGATATTTAGAGGCAGAATTAATAAGACTTGGCAATAGATTGGATGTAGAGAATAAATGAACAAAAGGGGTTAAGGATAACTTCAACTCTAAGTTGGAAATTTATTGCCAGGAGAAATGGTGGTACCCTCAATAGAAATATAGAAGTTAGGAGAAGAGGTGACTGACTTGGGAGGGAAAATGACAAGTTCCTCTTTGGATATATTGAGTATAATAGAACTTTCATAAAAGCACTGAGAAAAGATTTTATCATGGGCTTAGTTTCCAGTAAAGGCAGAAATGTGATTTGAATTCAAGGAATAGAAGAGGAAAGTAGCCAGATCCAAAAAAAAAGGAGTTCCTTCTCCCTCCCTTGCAAATGCTTGTCTGTTGCAGATGGATTTCTTGAAGCTCCTGGCCCTCCACCATCACACTATTGTAGCAGTCATCCTCAACATGATGGCCCTCTGCCTTTCTACCACATCCTTCCTTAGCAGCTACTGGTGTGTGGGCACACAGAAAGTGCCCAAGCCCTTGTGTGGGAAGAGTATGGCCTCCAAGTGCATTGGCATGCTAGTGCCCTTGGATGGGGGTAGTGGCAATACATCAAGCCAAGAGGTGGTAAACTACAGCTGGGAGACAGGAGATGACCGCTTCTCCTTTCGCTATTTCCATGCTGGCATGTGGCTGTCTTGTGAGGAAAACATGGAAAGCCCAGGTAACATCTCCATCCCAGAAACCTTATGTTACTTTTCAAATGAGTTCAATACCCAGGAAAGGTTTTAGGTATACAACTAAGGATGAAAGCATTGGAGTAATACAGTAACAAGGGACTCCTCTGCCACACCAAACATACACATACATTGTAACCAATACCTCTTTGTATCTCTTCTACTCCACAGAGATCTCTCAGGGAACCATAGAAAGTTAGAACAGGATGCACCTTTGAAAATCTTAGTCTTTTATTTTGCAGATGAGAAAACCAAGGCCCAAAGAGTGGAGCAGTAACACACAACTTGAGCCAGGGCTAGAACCAGGCTATCCCAACAACTAAGCCAGGATTCTATCCACTACCTCCTAAAAGATCAAAAACCAGTATTCTCCATTGATTTCTCATTCCTGAGATCTTCAGTAGAGAGAATAAATGGAAAAAAATCATTACCTTTAAGAATTTCCGTTACTACTCACATTTTATGATAATTTCTGCACAGAAATCATTTGTGCTGCAGAGGGGTTGCTTGATCTTTTTTATGGCAAGGATCCCTTTGGCAGTCTGGTGAAACTTATGGGCCCCTTTTCAGGATAATTTTTTAAATGCACAAAATAAAATACATAGGATTAAAAAGGAAATTAATTATATTAAAATAGTTTTCATATGTGTACATATGTGCATAGACAGATAAATAGGTGAGAGAGAGAGAGAGAGAGAGAGAAAATGAACAAGTTTATTGATCCCAAGTTAAAAAGTCTTGCTTTCTTAGAATACAAGTAGTAAGAAGAAAGAGAGGGCAGCACTCTATAGTAAAAAGAACCATACAATGGGAAATAAGCAACCTGGTTTCTGTCCCTGTCTCCTTCCTTCAGCTTTGTGATTTAGACAGTTGATTTCTCTGGGTCTCAGTTTCTCCATCTATAAAATAAAGAACTTGGGGTAGTTCACCTTTAAAATCCTTTCCAATTCTTAACATGTGTCACTGAAAATGGTGGGGAAGCAGGCTCAATTCCAAATATGCTCCACTGGTTGCCCACCCTACCCTCAGGCCCATTTCCAAGCATACTCCATAGAGTAGGCTCCAATCCAACCTCCACTACATTAATAATAATGATAGTGATGCTAACGAACTAATTTTGTCCTCCTTATCTTTGAGGCAGCACCTTTAGAAATAAAGCAGCTTAGGTACACAAATGAAGGAGGTGTGGTTTCCTTGACCTGCCCATAATGTCATCTACCCGTTTCTATGTGTATTTATTGTCTGTTTCAGGAGAGAAGTGCCGCAGTTTCATTGAACTCACACCACCAATAGAAAGAGGTATGAATATGTCTTGATATTTCTCTGGAAGATGGGCCATAAAGGAGCCTGCCTTTCAGCGGGCAGAATATATCGTTGCCTGCTGGTACAATGTGAGAGGCAGGAAAAGAAACTCTTGTCCAAAACACGTCCTGTCTCCTCCATTTTCCCCCTTACTAGAGTATCTAAAATTCCTTAAAGCATTGAACCCAGATGAAACTAATTTCTTTAATGTGTATAACAGTGGGAGGAGTAAGATATTAAAGGATCAACACTTTCCTTTTAATTGATTCGTTAAATATTAGGAATACTGTCATCTCTCAAGGCCTTGATAGAATGAGTCAATGCAGGTGGGAAAGGTGAAAGGGATAGACTCTGGGTACTGGACCACGTTGGATACAGCATCCTTCAGTAGCAGTAAGAGAAGATGAGTGCTGGAAGAGGACAGAGAGCTATGTTAAGGGGGTTGAAAAGGGAGGTCTCTTGATGACAAACTCAGTCTCTTTCAGACTGTTCCTGAGGGTTGGACTTAAATGGGTGACTTTCTGAGCTTCCAGAGGTAACCCAACCACAAGGATCTCAGCCTCCTCTTTGTTCTTGAGAACAATTGAAGGAGAAGATATGCCGAGCAGCTGCCTTGGTTTCTCAAAAGTTGTTGTTGTTGTTGTTGTTGTTTACTTTTGGCCACCCAGATCAAAATAGAGTTGGGCAACTGGCTTCCTTTAAGTCCCAACTAAAGTCTTGTTTTCTACAGGACATCTCTTAATTCCTGTGCCTTCACTCTCTTAATTAATTATTTCCTATTTATCCTGTATATAGTTTGCTTTGTATATATTTGTTAGAATGTTGTCTGCTCCATTCAATTGTAAGCTCCTTGAGGGCAGGAACTGTCCTTTGCCTCTTTTTGTATCCCCAGCACTTAGCACAGTGCCTGGTATATAGTAGGTGCTTAATATTTATTGAATTAAATTGAACTTCCCAATTCCCAGAAGCTTCATACTTTAGAGCTGGAAAAGACCTTAGAAATTATCTAACTCAACCCTCTCAATTTGCAAGTGAGGAATTCTACAGCCCAGCTGGTGAAGTAATTTGGCTAAGGCCAATCAGTTAATCAAAAACAGTTCACACAAGAGCTTCAGCCCAACTTTATTTCTGCTGCCACATTTGAGTCATGCCAACAGCTACCTTTAGGAACTTTGAAACCCCAAATCTCTCCCTGAGACTGGCTGACTCAGTGAGTAATTAGACAGCCAAGTTTTGGACAATTCAGGACCCAAAAAGGATATTTGGAAGCCTGAATGATACAAATGTTGACTGTCAGCTTGGATCACATAACCCTGATGAATAGCTGATAACTGACTTCCCTCTCTGCAGACACAACTCATGACTCTCTGCTGTGAACTGCGTGAGGCCTAAGGATAGAATGACTCACAGAGTCACACAACTCTGTCTACTTGCACCTATTGGCTGAGGTTGAAGGCAGGGTATCTTTCAAGGAGGCTCAAAGGCCTTTTCTTTATAACACTGGCCATTGACCATGCAGGAAGCCATTCTTTTTTACCTTATAACTAGTGGTGTGCCACTGTCTGGCAAGGTCTAAAGGTCTAAGATAGAAAGTTAAAGCAAAAAGGAAAAACTTGCTTCCTTGCTCTGACTTTGTAATTGAAGAGTATGGTCTCTCTTTCCAGGCCATGTCTTCCTATTGCTTCAGAGGCAGAGGTCCTCCTCAGTCATTATCCCCTTCTACTTGGCCTACTCAAGGAAAAAACAAAAGCAGAAAGTAACTGTGGCTCACATGTACCCATCCCGTTCAGCAGATTACCATAGCTACCTAGACACCATGGTCTTAGCCTAAGGGGCAGAAAATAAACTCAACTTTGGTAAAATAATTAATAATCAAAATTTTGAAATTCTCTGTCCTAACTCATCTTAGAGCACATTAGCTTTGATCAAAATTCTAGCTATCTGAGAAAGGTTCAGACCTCTGTCTCACTCTCTGTGTAGCAAATCTCAGCCATTCCCTAGCCTGCTCTATTGTAGCTACTACTTTTACTTTTCTTCTTTCAAATGAATATGTACTTCTTTACATTTATGTGTATTATTTATATGTAAACCAAATTACTAATCTTAAAGCACTTGAAATTAAATGTTAGTCATTGTTGTTGGTAGGGCAGTTAGGCGGCATAGAGTGTGGGGCCTGGAGTGAGGAAGACTTGAGTTCAAATCTAGCCTCAGACACTTATTAGCTGTGTGACCCTGGGCAAGTCACTTAACTCTGCCTCAGTTTCCTCATCTGTAACATGAGGTGAAGAAGGAAATGGCAAACCACTCCAGCATCTTTGCCCAGTAAACCCCATGTGGAGTCACAAAGAGTTGGGCATGACTAAAACTGAACAAGTTGTTGTTGTTATTATGATTATTACTGTTAATTCACCAAGCTGCATACTCTCCCCACCATCCTCAATGGTTCTATTATTGTAACCATTTATTAAAGATGCAAACAAAGTGGGAAAGGGAGGAGGGTGTGGGAGGTGACATTTTCTCTGAGGCTGGTAATGGGAAAAGTTCCATCTATAAATTATTAGATGAGAATAGAATGACTTTCTAGGAACCTCCCTTGCATTCAATGACTAAATTCAATTAATCATCAACATTTATGAAATACCCATTGCGTGCAGAGTAGGCAAAGCTATTCTGTAAGGGAATCTCAAGGAAAAGGAAGTTGCACATATCAGATGAGATCAGACTTTCCTGATTTCCTTGGCTTCATATCACCTCTGCTATTCTGCTCACTAACCTTTGTTCATAGCAAATCTTGTATGTACATCCTATTTTTTCCCAGTTGGTGTTTTAGGTTACTGTTTTGTTCTGACATAACGAGGGTGCCTTCTTTCTCTGTTTTCTGGCAGGAATACTTTGGTTATCCCTGGGGTCAGAGATTGTCTACGTCAGTCTGTTATCCATCAGCCTCCTCCTACTGCTACTGGAATTGTTATTCCCTGGAAACCCTGGCTGTGGACTTAAGCTTAATGCCTTTGCTGCTATGTCCTCAGTCTTGTCAGGTGAGTGTCTCCCTTCAGGGCATAGAATCACAAACCCTTCAGAGCTGGAGGGAACCTCAAGGGTTACTCAGTCCCACCCACGCATGTACAAGAATCTCCTCTACAACATTATCAAGTGGCCATCTGGCCTTTGCTTGAAGGTCTCTATTGGAAATTCACTGGTCACTCACTCATTCCCCCAATAAACATTTATTAAGTGTCTACTACCTGTAAAGCATTGTGTTAGATGCTGGGGACACAAAGACAAAAACAAAACAATGCCCACCTTAAAGAACCTCATATTATATGATGGGAAATGAGTACACAGGTAAATCAATTCCAAACATATACAAAAATTGCCCAATATACAAATATAAGTGCCTCAAATTTCTAGGTTCTCAACTCACTTGAAATAGTTATGATCTCAGTGGTTAATTCAAAAGGGTCATTTTCTCTTTGGCTTACTATGACTGAACCTGAAGTTTACTCTGGGAAATCTTCAAATATAGTTTGTCTCTAGATTTTCACAGAAGTGAGTCAAAGGGATCCCCTGATCCTTTACAAGCACCCAAGTAATGAATGTATATTGTGCATAGGATGGCTTTAATACCATCCCACAGAAAACACAGAAAGGACACACCAGAGTCCCATAAACAGATGAAGAAAACATATAAAACAGTCTCCTGAGAAGGAACTGAACTCAAAGTTGCCACTGAGGCAACATTCCAACATCCTGGTGAATCCTTAGGAGTTACAATCCCTCCTAGTCTCTTAGTGCCCTTTATGGCTTGGACTCCCCAGAAGACAAGTATGTTTAACAGCTACTGGACAGGTAACCTCTTCCTTCATATCTACACCACCCAAATAACTTACTACAGTATCTCAGGATGGCAAGATAGATACCTTGTTCCCCTGTGGCACAGCTTTAACCTTGCTGCCCATTCAGTTGCAGGGACCATGTGGTTAATCTTTCTCCAAGAGATTAGGAATTCTTCTTTCTCCTGAAATCAATCCTCTTAACTCTTGAACTTGGGGTTAGTCTTATGGCACTGCCCAAGAAATATATCTTTTTTGTTAGATTCCAAGACAACAGTGCTTAGGAAATTCCCTTCCCCTACACACGAGGATGGAGGTCAGGAACAATGTCCATGATATCCCCTCTTAGGTGAGTAGGCAAGCACATATCCGTTTCTGCTATGTGTTTCTGGAGGGACTTTATCACTGCTCTAGTTAATTCTATCAATTGGGTTAGGAAAGTCTATTATCAGGCCTTAGTAAGGGAGAGAAAAAGACAGAAAGTAACCAGGAGGTACAGGATCTCCCATCACGTCACTTACACAAGTACATAGAGCCTGCCATGTTCTTTTGCCACAAATAACTACCTTCTAAAATAAGACACCACCCCCTTTTCTCTGTTCCCTTTCCTCCTTCTCTCCTTCCCTCCCTCCTATTAAGCTTCTGATTCTTTGAAACTTCCACTCTTTGCTCCTGCCCTCTGGGACCAAACAGAACCTAATTCCTTTTCTTCACAGTCCTTCAAATATTTGAAGACAGCTATCCTGTTTTCCATAAATCTTCTTGTCTTCTGGCTAAATATTGCCATAGTCCTTTAAGTGATCTTTATATGGTATTATATGGATTAATATCTCGAGATCCATTGCCACACTGACTGCTCTCCTCTTGATATTCTCCAACTTACCATTGTCCTTTCTAAAACATGGTCCTCAGAATTAAACACAGGGCAGAGTAATGAGGGATCAACATCTCCCCCAGTCCTGAAAATTATACTTCTGAATGCAATCCAAGGTTTTGTTAGCTTTTTGCCTGCCATATCACATTGCTATGAGAGATGGGTTGGTGTGGCTAGAGGACCAGTCTTGGCATCAGGAAAAGCTAGATTTAAGTCCAGCACGCAAAACCTATGTGACCATGGGTACACCACCTAACTTCTCAGTACCTCCACTCTATAAATTACAGAAGAGTAGCCCGTCTGTATCAGTGGAGTTTCCTTCACTGATGAAATCACAGGCCCTGAATTAGCTTTCCCTCCTCACCAAAAAAAGTCATCTTTTCCTTCTATTAAGGTTATAGTCCACAAGATCCCCAAATATTTTTAGATGAACTGATGTTTAGCCATGTTCTAATCTTATAGTTATAAAGCTGATTTTTAAAAACTCCAATGCAAAATTTTACATTTATTTCATCTTATTGCATTTGCTCAAATAGGTACACTTCTATCTATCAAGACCTCTTTAGATCATGGCTTGGTCATCCAATCTGATAGCTTTTTGATGCCTACAAATCTGAAAAACCACACTATCTTTGTATTTAGCCAAGTCATTAATAGAAATATTAAGCAGCATAATCAGATCTGTGTAGCTCCTCTAAAGACCTCCTCCCAAGAGGACAACTACTTTGGGGTGTTGTCATTCAACAAGTTCCAAAACTACCCAACTGTATTGCTGTTTTGTACATCTCTCACCATTTTTTCCACAAGTATAACATCCATAAGGTCTTGCCAAATGTTTTATTAAAATCCAAGTGAACTATTTTCCTAGCATTTTTCCAATCTGCCTGTCTAGCAATCCCATCAAAAATGGGAATTGTGTTAGTCTGGCATGACCTGACATTTTAAAAATCTTTGTTAATATCTTTTGTTTTTCCATTGATTTCCAAATACATCCCTTCCCCCCTTCATTATCCAGAGAGCCATCTGCTGTAACAAAGAATAAAGCTAAAGAAAAAAAGCAGTTAACCAAAAATGACCAACCTATCTAACAACACACATAATATTCCCCATTATCCAGAGAGCCATCTGCTGTAACAAAGAATAAAGCTAAAGAAAAAAAGCAGTTAACACAAAATGACCAACCTATCTAACAACACACGTAATATTCCACATCCATAGTCACCCTCCTCTGAAAAGAAGGAAGGGAAGTGTTTCTTCTCCTCTCTTCTTTGAGGCTAAGAGTGGTCAGTATAATTATACAACATACCATTTTTATTTTTGTTGTTCTTTCCATTTACATTATACTTATTGTACATATTGTTTTCCTAATATTACTTCACTTTTCATCAGTTCATAAAATTATTTCTTTGATTCTTTGAATACAAAGGTATTCTTCATATTCACTTTGTCTTATGACACAGTAAGAGTGCCATGCATGTATCACAATTATTTTAGCTATTCTCTTTCTCCCCTCCCCCCTCAATACACATAGACTGTTTCCAGTTCTTTACTGCAACAAAAAGTACTGTTGCCCTCCTTGGGTTATATGCCTAGCAGAGGCATCTCAGTGTTAAGGGATATGAACATTTTAGTGACTTTCTTAGCATAATTCCAAATTGCTTTCCAAGATGATGGTTCCACCAACAATGTATTAGCGTGCATATCATTCTACAATCCTTCCAATATTGACCGTTCCCATCTTCTGTCATTTTTCCTAGTTTTTAAGGTGCGTGGTAAAACAAACCTCAGAGTTGTTTTGGCCCTTGTTAGAAGTGATTCAGAGCAATATTTCAAAAACTTGTTAATAGTTTGCAATTCATTTGATAACTATTTATTAACATCCTTTGAATATTTATCCACTTGGAAATGACTGCTGGTGCAAACCTATTAGTAATGAATCCTAGTTTGTGATCAATATGTCAGAATGCATTAGTTGAGAGGTGAAAATGAATTACAGGTACTATCCCACACGTTATTTTAAAATAATTTTATTTATTTCAATTAACAAACAGATCTTTCCCCTTCCCCCACTACTAAAAAAGAAAAAGAAAACCTTTTTAACAAATATGCATAGACAAGAGAAACAAATTCTCAAACTGGCCACATCCAAAAAACATGTCTCATTCTGCACCCTGTGTTCATCACCTCTCTGAGGGTGGGTAGCACGTTTCATCATCAGTCTTCTGGAATTACAGTTGGTAACCGCATTGAATAAAGTTAAGTATTTCAAAGCTAGTTTTATAGTGTTATTATTATATAAATTGTTTTCCTAATTTTTCTCACTTCATTCTTCATCAGCTCATGTAAGTCCCTATATGTCTTTTTTAAAATCATATATGTGAAAGAAGTTAATTTATATTTTCTGAAACCTCTTTTCTTTTCATAAGGATTTATTTGCCACAGGGTCCTCTGAACTTAAAGTTGTTCTAGTGCTTTTAAAATAGCATTTGATGCTTCCACAACTTTTCAGGGATGTACTAAATATATTGAAAGATATACGCATATAGGTCCAGGGGAAAAAAAAATTATCCAAGAAGGAAGAGAAAGTAGGTAGAAAAACCCAGGGGAGGGAGAAAGGGAAAAACAAGGAAATAGGACTGTTGGACTAAAGATATAGCAATGAAAAAAGACACTTTAAAAGGCTTTCGACCCAAACAGTTTATAACCATTGACTATGAGCTCATTGAGAATAGACTCTGTTTTGCCTTTCTTTGTATCGCTAATGTTTAGTACAGTGCCTGGCCTATAGCATGCACTTAATAAATGTTTATTAACTTTCTGACTAATCAATGTAGAGCTCTTGACCCTTCCACCACTTTTCAGAATAGTTTTTAATTTTATGGGATGCAGTTGTTCCATCATTTGTCCTGACAAATGCCATGGAACTCCTGCATCGCTACACCTGCCCCACCCCATCCCCCAAGGATCTGTAGTTTCCTAAGTTATGATCCTTGAAACTGAGCATTTCCTTCAAAGTAGGAAGACTTGCTACCAAAAATTTAGGGAATAATAAGACATAGTAATAGACTCTGCTTTCTTATTCCCTCTGTAGGCCTTTTGGGGATGGTGGCACACATGATGTACACGCAAGTTTTCCAGGCAACTGCCAACTTGGGACCAGAAGACTGGAGGCCACATACTTGGGATTATGGCTGGGCCTTCTAGTATGTTCACCAAAAGGTTCTTGTCTCACACACACACACACACACACACACACACACACACACATACACACACACACAAAACACACACACCCTTAGTCATGTCCTCTTTAGTTTTTCTCTAGTCCAAATCTGCTAGATCACCTCCAAAAAACTTGTTGTAAGATGTTCTTCTACTATCCCTTGGCCTTCACCTTATCCCTCATCCACTGTCACTGTCAAATTTAGAGAACTGGAGCCAAAACTAAATCCCAAAAAGGATTGTAGCCAAATGAAAGGGCCTATTAGGTGACATCCAATTCACCAGTCCCCCAGCAAGTACAGATGTGCTCCCCCCAGTTTTTTTTTCCCCAAGTCCTGTGCCCAGTTCAGTGGTCCTACTAATAATGGCATGATCCTCCATACCTTCATAGAGCTACATCAACTGTATCACCATTCAAATGCCTTTCCATTTTGTGTCCAAGTTGTCCATGAGAAATGAGAGCTGTGACTAAGATAATGAGACTGATGTTTTTGTGTGGTTTACAGAAATCAGTCTTACTTATTTGAAAAAATACATCTACTTCTAGGTGTTCAGGGAAAGAGTGGATAACATCTTGTTGGTAAGAGGTGCCATAACGCAATGGAAAGGATGCTTGATTTGGAGTCAAAAGATATGGTTTCAAAGCCCAGCTTATGGCCTCTGTGACTCTTTGACAACTCGCCTCACCTCTCTGGGCCTCACTGTAAAATGAAAGGAGTTAAACTTGATAACTTCCTATCTAACTCTAAATCCACGGTTCTTTGGTATCTGGGCACAAAAGAGTGGAGTTTCATTCCTAGGTCGATGAAGGGCCCACTCTTCCACATATGGGAAGTCATATACTTCCTACAAAATCCTACAATTTACCCCACAAACCTCCTCATAATCATGGCGTCAATTTAAAAGAGATAAATGTTATTTATCTTAGATTTCCCCGGAAAATAAAATGAGGGAAGGGAAAACCAGAATCTTCTCTTCCTTCAAAATGATTTCACTTTTTTAATGAGATGTCTGAACATTTTCTACTCATCTAATTGCTAACCATTATCTAAAACAGTGGTCATTACCTTTTTTTCATGTCATGAACCCCTTTGAGAAGTCTGGCAAAGCCTCAAAACCCCTTCTCAGCATAATTTTTGTTGCATATATTCATAATTTAAAAAATGCTAGATTTCAGTTAAAGGTTAGTGAAAAGAAAAATGCAATTTTTTTCCCATCCAAGTTCACACACTCCCTGAAATCTATACACAGATCTCCACAAGGTCAATGGACACTAGGTCAAGAACCCCTTCTCTAAAGTATTGTCATTTATTAAATGTTCATAGAGTTCCAAGTATATTTCAGTTATACTATAAAAACATGATACTGGATCTCAAGGAATTACCATTCTAAGAAGATAATCATAAGTCTATAGAGTAAGAGTATTTTGGGTGGTTTTTTGTTTTTTCTATATTTGTTAAATAGCTATTATCTGACACCTGACCTGCTCCTGACACTTGCTACTTTATATAGTAGATTCAAGGGTTCATGGTCTTGGAATTTCTCCCTTGAGAAATCTTCACCAGCTACTATACAGTTATGGTCGCTGTTAGCAAACTCTCGTGGGTGCCCATAGCATTCCCTTACAATCCACAGCATTGGGGCATTTCCTAGCTTTGGTCACTAGCCCCCTAAGCAAATTAAGCAAAATAAGGCTGAGTTTGCTCTTGGACAGCAAGAGCAAACCTAGCTTCATTCTGATTGTGAAAGGCAGAGCGCATAAACCATCTTTTGATCCTGCCCCAAACTCACAAAATTTTCTGTCCTTGGGCTGTTTAGAACTCTGGAGAGCTTAGGGGGAAAAGGGAGGTATAGTTCTGAATGAATATACCTTTCATTGGAAGACTTGTCTCCCAAAGTTATGATTCTTAAGTTGTATGGATTTCAGACAGAGGAAGACATAGGAGATAGGGTTCTTCGGGTACAATGCCAGAAGATAGGTACTGGGGACCTAGGTGAAGAAACAGAAAGTTCCTGGCACTCAGAATATGGGAAGATACTAGACTTTTTCGTGTGTACTTAAAACAGTTACCAAAAGACATGAGGGAAGTGGATAAAGCTGTGATAACTCTAAACATTTGGCCATAGAAACCACATTATACTATGTCTGTGTTTAACATAATGGACAATTTTACTGTATTGGCCAACACAGTCAAGTTATAAAACAACAGCTAAATCTTCATACAGCTAGCTTGGCTAATTTTATTGCTCCATGAAGCTCTATGAACCCCCAAAATATCCATAATCTGATTTCCAAAATACTGACATAGACTATACATCTCCTTTTCCCCACCAGTCTTTGGAAAGGGAAGTTTTCTCTACCCTAATTCCCTAAAATATGCCCTCCTGTTATCACATGCAAGAAAAGAGGAAGCCCTCTTATCCTTATAGATTCAGCTTCAAATCACATGGGAGAAGAAAGTCAGGCTCTCATTGTCTAATTCTTCTGTTTCTTCATACGTAGCATGGCCTGGGTCTCTTTCACCTGTTGCATGATGTCAGGCGTCACAACCCTCAACACCTACACCAAGATGGTACTGGAATTTAAATGCAGCCATTACAAATCCTTCAAAGAGAACCTGAGCCACTCACCATCGCTACACTACCAATGCCTTCTCCTGCAGCAACAGCAGCAGCGGCGGCAGCAGCAGCAGCAGCCACTAACTCCAACCCACTCCAGGGATCAACTGAGCAGTTACTACCAGGACGAAAAACAGTCTGACCACTCGGTCTCTGGAGGGGTTGACTTTTGCTCAGAGCTACAAGAGAAGGTGCTTTCACAAGAGTCTAGGATGGAACTAAGTGAAGCGCTCGAATCATTAGTGGAGGATGAGCAATGTTAGGACTGCAATGGGAGGGGCAGGAGAGAATAGGGAGTAAGAGGAGTGAAGAGGACAAGTCCTGCCTTCCATAGCCACTGAGATTATGTGCACAACTCCAGACTTCCATTTTTTTTTTAGCATTGCTTTTGGGAACTAAGAGCAAGGCTGTCTTTCAGCACAAGTCCCCAAAGCCTCCCAAATTCTATTCCCATCTCACCATTCCCTACTATGTAACAAGGGTCTCTTTTCTACTTCATTTAGCCCATCTGGGATTGGGAGAATTATAAGTTGTCAATGTGATTGTGGTTAGCATCTGAATTTTTAGCACCCCTCTTACAGTTAAGTATGCCAGAGTCATCCTAGCTAGCATGAGATGAAAACAGAAGACGTCATTAAGTGATTTGGTGTCACCTATGACATCCCAGTTTCCTTTGTATTCTCCATGGTGTTTAGCATTGTACCTTTCCCTCATTAGGTGCTCAATAAAACAAGATTCTGGTTCAAGACTATCGGAAGGAGTCAAGGGATAGACTTTCATTCTTGTCCCATCTCTAAATCTTATTATTTTCCTTCTCCTTGCTCCTTCCAATGACTTTCCTCTTACTTATTTGTCCATAAAATAATTTCATGAATCACTTGATTGCTCTTTATCTTATATATAAGTGACCATAAACCATCATCCATAGCTAAGAAAAATGAATAGTGTCACACACAAATAATCCTGTACATGGTGTTTATTTGTTCTATCTTGTATTTCAAATGCTTTTCTGACAATCCATACAGTGGTGTTTCTTTTACACAGAAGATGTAGACAACAGTTCACATTTATGGGAATTGATGTAACAATACCACAGGATAATAAAATTAAAGAAGGATCCCTCATAGATTGATTAAAGAGGGAAGCAAAGACAGGACAGAGTACAGATGGGTCAGTTTCATTTGCAGAAGATGCAGAAGGTATTATTACTGCTTCTAGAAGTTGTTTGAGCTATAACAGGGACACAATGTGAGGAACAGAGAAAAGAAAGGAATGCTTACAGTACAGACTAATGCTCATTCATCCAGTTAATGGTTCCCTGAGAGAAGAGGGAGGTTTAAATACATTTGAACATGGGTTAGTACCCAAACTGTCCAGATGTCAACCTTCCATCACAACTCATTATCTATTAAGTGGTTTAGGGGAAAGAGTCCTATCAAGTATAGCCAAAACTGAACTCCTAAGGTGGTAGGCAAGCACATCACCTTGAATTCACACAAAACATTCTTTCCAGCTCTTACATTTTATATTTCTGTGACTTAATCAAAAAAGAAGCCTGGCTCTCTGCTAAAAATGATCTCCACAACACACATGTTATGAACAAATGTACCACATATTTCTGCCTAAATATGGGTAACCAGTCTGAAAGTCTGGGTATACTGGAGAAATATGAAATGCTCAGATCTCAGTGGTATATGGCAGGGAACACCCCAGGCCATGGGGACCACTGTAGAGCATGACATCAGTTTGGCCCAGATTAGACTTTGGAACCCCCTCCAACAATTGGGTCTATTTAAAGCAGAGAAGGATCCTCAATCAAAACATGGCCTAGCACACCACATCCTTCCAAACTGATCCAAATTCCAGATGACCTGGCACCATCTTTTCCTACTGGGATATTCCTAGATCCAACTTGATTTTTTTTTATTCCTTCATCTGTGCCAAACTGGGATTCAGACAGTAGCTATGCTAGAACTGACTGTCTTCACAGGTATGGGTCAGGTACCTAGACCAGCTGCATTTCAAGCAGCACCTGCTGAACGTTGACAGTGATTAACCCTTTAATATTATGTCATATGACTTTCATTGGGAAAATGGCAACAGATGCCCTTTCAAATTTAGCAATATTATCAGTGAAATCTCTAAAACTAGCATTAAATAAGTTAAGGGAGAACTACTGAAAGTTTCAGTGAAGACACATCACAAAGCAGCTCAAGGGAGAGAACAATCCTCCTACCAGCTCCTGACTGTGATTTCCTATGACATATCATCAACTGAGAGGCTTAGCCCAATAAATAATCACTATTAGAAGATAGCTTACAAGAATCTATTCCTATTAAGAAAAGAATAGAGGAAGGGGACTAAAAACTGGAGGCTACACCAATGAACTTACTATTTACAAAGTTACAGTATTTACACAAGAACACCATGAAATATATACAAGCTGTTCCATGGCTCTATAAGGAATAGGGTCAGTGAGACAGATTAACTACATATCAAGGCTCAGGGTTTTAAAGGAAGGGCTCAGGAATAGCTTTTCCTCCATAAGAATTCTGTACAATGAAGCAAAAACATTCTTCAACAATAGAAAATGCAAGAACCAGTTTTAGGAAGAGGGCTCCATGAGAGAAGTGTACCAATCGTTATGAAGAGTCAGTTTAAAGTGAGAAAAAGAATATGAACCTCAACTCTTCCTGAATTTCAGTGTTTTTGTGAGCAGTAAGAATGTTCTGCTTAATCCTGACATCACAGCAGAAACAGTGGATCATCCCTGACACACTGAAAACCAAAATAATATGGGGCTTGAGATAATTCATTTGAACTTATTTCTCTTACTATACTTGTGATAGTAATGTAGCTCTTCCCATAGCCTCTGGGCATCTGGATGGGAGGTTAGAAACAAAGGATGGAAGGGATAAGAATAGCCAGTCTTCTCACATTGTTTTAAATCAGTGCCAATGATTGACAAATAAGATAGTTCAAGATTGACCTGGATGAGAAGGAAGTGAAAAGTCAAAAAATGGTGACCCTAAGATAAGAGGTAGGAAATTTGGAGGAGTAGAGATGACCAAATGGCCCAGATATGTTTCACATGTGCAAGGAAATGGGTCTGAAATATATCTAGTAAACACTCCACACTTCAAAACTCATAAAGTAACACAAAGCAAAAAAACATTTCCTGGACTTAAGTACTTCTTTGACACTTCTCAGCATTTGCTTATAAATTACACATTCTCTCTCTCTCTCTCTCTCTCTCTCTCTCTCTCTCTCTCTCTCTCTCACACACACACACACACACACACACACACACACACACACACACACACACACACACACACACACACACACACACACACACACACACACACCCTTTTTAAACAACCCACAGAAAGCTTGTGGATGGTCTCAATACGAAAGTCAAGAAGGGAAGTTAAACATACCATTACCAGACAGGTGGGACTGTTATGAAGTAGTAACAGCCTGCTTTCCAAAGTGCTTTGTGTTAATTATACAGAGGTGGCAAGACAGTGTGGGGAAAGAAGCTTCCTTTTGCTTTCTCCATATACCTGATTTTACAGACTTGACTGAGAAGATTCTAGGTTAAAGAGAGGGTTCACATTAGTTCCATCTGAAATCCGAGGTACCTTCAGACTAGACCTGGGGGAAAACATGAACATATGTTTTATTTGGGTTTTATTTTAAGATGGAAACTTTCAGAGTTATTAAAGTAATAATAACAATAGCTCACATTTTTATAGACCTTTAAGGTTTCCAAAGTATTTTACATGCATTATCTCATTTGGTCCTTGACAACACTGTTATAAGGTAGAAACTATTATTATCCTCATTTTACAGATGAGGAAACTGAGGCTCAGAGAGATAAATGATTTGTCCAAGATCACACAGCTGGTGTGTGAAGAAGTATCTGAACATAAGTCTTCCTGACTCTAAGCCCAATACTCTACCTATCCACTAGACCTCTAAATAGCAATCCTTTCTTCCCAGGTATTCAACATTTACAATTTTCTTCCTTTTACATACTCTTCTATTGGACTTTCTTTTTTCCCTACTAATCTGCTACTGAGCCTTTTCAGGGGTCACAGAATCTTCTAGGAAACCAGTCTGACCACAAAGAACTTCACTCTAAGCATCTAGATATTCAATGATAATAATATCAAGAATTTCCCTAGCACAGTAAATTTTGCAAAGTGCTAGCTAGAGTCCGGCAAAAGGACACTAGGCCTTAGGTGTAGCCTTTTGACCAAGTCCAAGTTTTACAGTATTTTTATTAAGGGGCTTTGTTCTGTAAAGTTTGGATTCAGTCAAAGGGTTGCATTTGAGGACCTTGAGGGCCATATGTGGCCTCAAGGCCACAGGTTTCCCACCCCTGTGCTAGACATCATTGGTAAAGCTCATCTCATCCTCACAACAATTCTATAAGGCAAGTATTATAGGCATCATTATCCCCATATAATAGATAAGAAAATGGAGTTTCAGAGAGGTAAAGTGATGGCCCATAGTCACACAGTTGGTAAGCAATAGGGGGAGAATCTGAACCCAGTGCTCTCCTGACTCCAAATCCAGCACTTTTGCTACTACCTCAATAAAGTTCTCTTCCAACATTCTTTTTCTCTTATAAAAGAGCTGTCCTAAAGCAAAATGGATTGCTTCAGGGCATAATGAGTTCCTCATCACTGGATATCCTCAAGGCGGGGCGCTAGATGATTACTTGTTGGGGAAGGTTCCTATTCAGGTATAGTTTGGGCGAGATAACTTCCCAGGTCCTTTCCAAGGTCCTCTGAGATTCTATGATTTTATGGTTCCGATGATGAAGTCTGGAGTTGAAACTATACCAAACTCCAAAATTTATCAAACACTTCTTTAACAAGGGATCCACTTACCTTCTGAGAAGAAACAAACTTTAGCCTAGAAAGGAATCTTCTAAGTTCTCCCCGGCCAATTTTTGGGGTTGTCTCCTTTAGCACAACAACCTGGCTCTCCATCAGGGCCCACCTCAAGTTCACCTTACTGACAACTAGAGGTCTCGGATGGTTTTCAGACCCAGGCCCTGTTTTCCTGGTAACATAGAAAGCATCTTTCCAGACATCATTAATTCCAACTGTGGAAAAACAAAGGAAATAACAGTTAACATAAGGAAATATGCTCCTTCTTTTATAAGGAGAGTCATCTTGTATAGCAATTGTTAATGTAGAAAGCAGAATGCAAGTTTTCGAGGGGCCTTATAAAGTACAATATGGGAGTTAGTGAGGTAACTACAGTTTAGTAGGAAAAGATCACTGGATAGAAAGTAAGAAGTCCTGGTTTAAATCCTGAGTTGACCACTTATTAGTTGCATCATCTTGGGAAAGTCTCTACCTCTCTGAGACTCAATTTCCTCATAGGTAAAATGGAAATAATAAAACCTTCACTACCAACCTCATAGGGTTGTTGTGAGAATCAAATGAGACAATGTGTATTAAGTTTGTTGTAAACCTTGAGGTGATATATAAACATGTGCTATTACTGTTTTATTATCATTATTATTATTATTATTATTATTATTATTATTATTATTATGATTATTATTTGTGCCAACAATTAGAAGAAGGAACTGGTAGAGAAATGAACCAAGAAATAGATTGTTGTAATGTTGTATTGTAATGTTGGGTTGGCAACCTAACACTTATCTAGTTATTATTTAATTTGCCTCACCTTTAAAACAAGTATTGTAATATAAATGTGATTTTTAAATATCATTATTACTACTTTTAGTACTTTTAATATGCTTGATGGTGATATGTTGAAAATTAGTTCATTTATACTATATAAAAGAATTTTACCAACATGAGGCACTTAAAAAATATTGAGAGACAACATAAAACAATAGACATGTCCTCTATGAACAACATATTGCCTCCTCCTTAGTGGAATGAAGCATTTGCCTATGTCAGAAGATCTGAAGAGTAGTAACAGACGTCAGGACATTCCAACAGAGCCACAGTCACTAGCATTGGCTTCAACCTCAGAGGAAACACTTAAATCTGTAAATGGAAAGTCTGATTTCCAGATGGCAGGAAGGTATAGACAAGGATAGGGAAGGGAACTTGGACAATCTGGTTACATCCCAGGTAGGAAGATTCCTCAGAGCTAATGCCATGAAAAAGTACAGGATGAGGAAGAATCACAATCCAACAGATGACAGTGGCTAGCTTTCCAGGACTTTAGTGAACTGAATTCCCACTCATCCTGAGATGATGAAGACTAGAACAATTTGCCCAACATCCAGTTAACATATCTTTTTCCTCTATAAATCCCTTCTTCTTTAAAAAATTCTCTGAGTCACTTATCCCGTGATGTTTATCCTGAAGAATCCTCAATTTATTTGTCCTGACTTCTGTGAATACAGATACTTTAACTGAGAATTTAAGATTAAAGGCATATGCTAAAGAGGTCAACACTGCAAGCATTTTTTGCACCTCTCTATGCTGCTGTTCACAACAGGAGTCAAGCAAATAATTGCGTGAGGTTCAATGTTGTTAGTGGAAAAAAAATAACAAAACTCAAAGGGATATGTCCTAAGGATGATGGTTCAATGGAATAGTTTTTATATGTAACCAGACAATGTATTTTTATACATTGTTTTGTTATATGTAGTGAGTTATAAATCCAGGATTCAGGCCCAGTCCTTTGACTCTAAATCCTGTCCTCTCTCTGCTAATCCATTACTCTCTTACATGAATCTTCCACTACCTATCCTTCTCCAAACTTTCTGCTGATCTCCAGTCTCACATATCTGATTGCTGCTTCTCAGAAGAACTATTCTCTGAACAGTTCTCAAACCCTGTGTATGCAGACTCCCACCATGAGAAAACTCACTTGCTGAAGCATTCACATTGCCTGTGTCATTAGCCAGATCCAGGAGGATTGTGGGGAAGGTTGGATGTAAAAGGTAAAGATGGTAGAGCACAGATGGCTCAGTTCCTGAGTTGAGATCCTAAAGGGAAAAGAAAAAAATAGAAATATTAACTGTCCCATTTAATGCTCATCTAATGCAGAGGGCAGAGGAGAAATCCGGCAAGATATAATTCCTTTCACGGTTAAAAGCTTGATTTCTTCCTTTGAGAAGGGTCTCAGATTATGAGAGAAACCCCTACATGTCCAGAAGAAACAAAAGGCTCCACTTTCTCAACATATGAAAATCTTCTGACTGACCACTAACTTCCCATTATTGCTTTTTATAGCTGAAAAGTATTCTCTTCTCACCAAAAAAAAAAAAAAGCAAGGCCAAGCAATTTCTTAAGTCAATAGTCAGTTCTGAAGAGTAGCTAGCTGCCTTTTGACAGAGGAAAAAGGAATAAAATAACCTCTTTCACAGATTTACTCACTGAATTGGATGGTGCTGCTGACTGGTTTTCAGCCCAAAAGAGAAAAACTGATTTTTGGTCTGATGTCATCACTGAAGTGGCAGCTGATTCTTTCATGTGACATGAGAGACTGGAATTCCAAATGACAGTACCTGAATTACCATCTATCACCATCACCTGAAAAGCAGGAAACACAGAGTAAGTATCTTAGGTACTTAGAAAAATATGAGGAATCAGAAAAAGGAAGAGTGACATTGAAAAATATACAACATGGCAACAAGTGTCGATACTTAGATGGCATGAACTAAGAGGAACATTAACAAAGCAAGAGCTTTTTGAAGCCTGCCTCTGACCTTGGCAGATACCAGGAAGAGAAATGTCTTTCTGCAACTCACAAGAAATGCAAAAGAAACTCCTATTTAGCAGCCCTGCAGGCCTGGAACAGTGCAAGTTCCAGGTGCCACAAATGGGTCAATCAATCAATAAGCATTAAGTGCCTGCCTCCTAAGTTCCAGGAATGTGTTAAGAACTGGGAATACAAAAAGGGTCAAACAAGAGTCCCTGCCCTTAGGGAGCTTACAGTTTAATAGGGGAGACAATATGCAAACAAATATATGCAAAGCAAGACATGTGCAAAATAAACAGGAAATAATTAAAAAAGGGAAAGCACTGGAATTAAGAGGGGGTAGCAAAGGCCTCTTGTAGAATGCAGGATTTTAGTTGGGACTTAAAGGAAGCCGGGGAGGTCAGTAATCAGAGCACCCCAGGCATGGGGGACAGCCGGAGAGAATGCCCATCCACCAGACTGGATGTCTTGCTCATGAAACAATGAGGAGCCAGTGTGACTGGACTGAAGAGTACGAACTGGGGAGTAAGGTGTAAGAAGACTAAAAAAGGTAGGAGTGGGCTAGGTTATAAAGGGCTTTGAATGCCAAACAGAACATTTTGTATTTGCTTTTGGAGGTAAAAGGAAGCCACTGGAGTTTATTGAATAGGAAGGTGACACGATCAGACTTTAGGAAAATCACATTGACATAACAAAACAGGAAAATGATAAATGTTGGAGAGGATGTGGGAAAATTGGAACACTAATGCATTGTTGGTGGAATTGTTAAATGATCCAATCATTTTGGAGAGCAATTTTGGAACTATGCCCAAAGAGCTATAAAAATATGTATACCCTTTGACCCGGCAATAGCACTTCTAGGGCTATGTCCTAAAGAGATCATACAAATGGGAAAAGGACTCACTTGTACAAAAATATTCATAGCAGCTCTTTTTGTCATGGCAAAGAATTGGAAATTGAGAGGATGCCCATCAACTGGAGAATGACTGAGCAAGTTGTGGTAAATGAATATAATGGAATACTATTGTGCTATAAGAAATGATGAACAGGCTGACTTCACAAAGACTTGTATGGCCTGATGCTGAGTGAAGTGAGCAGAACCAAGAGAACGTTGTACACAATAACAGCCATGTTGTACGATGACTAATACTGATAAACTTAACCCTTCCCAGCAATATAAGGATCTAAGACATCTCCAGAGGCCTCGTGAAGGAAAATGCTATTCAGATCCAAAGAAAGAACTATGGAAGTTCAATTGCTATTTTTTTTCTCTTCTGTTGTTTCCTCTTTCTGATGGTTCCTCCTATTTTAATTTTTACTTGCAACATCACTAATGTGAAAATATGTTTAATAGGAATATAACTGTATGGTCTATTTAAAAAAATCACTTTGGTGGCTGAATGGAGAAAGGGTTGGAGTGGGGAGAGACTAGAAGCAGGCAGACCTATCAGCAGGCTATTGCAATAGTGCAGGTGATACTGGCCTGCACTTAAGTGGTGGCAGTGTCAGAAAAGAAAAGGAGGCATATTCAAAAGATGTTGAAAAGGTGAAATCAATAGGCCTTGGCAACAGCTTGGTTTGGGGGAAGGGGTTCTTTTGATGAGAAATGGTGAGAAATCCAGGATGACTTCTAGGTTGTGAACCTGAGAGACTGGAAGGATGTTGTTACCTTCTACAGTAATAGGGAGGGTAGGAGGGAGAACAATGAGTTCTATTTTGGACATGCTGAGTTTAAGATGTCTACTGGACATCCAGTTACAGATATCTGAAAAGCAATCAGAAAGTGGGGGTCAGCAGAAAGGTTGGAGCAGGATAAGTAGCAGAAGATTCACGTAAGGCCACAGGGGATTAGTAGAGAGAGCATAGGATTTAGAGACAAAGGACCTGGACCTGAATACTGGATTTATGACTCACTACCTATAACCATGGCCACTTCACATCTCTGGGTCTCACTTTTCCTCATCTGTCAGATGAAGGACCAATATTAGATGATCTCCAAGGCATCTTCTAGACCTAAAAAATTTTTCCTGATTATAAGATCTACCTGTAAAATTGGCAAGGGCTGGGGAGCAGGTATGTGTAGCATAGTATTGAGCACTGAAAAAGGGAAGATCATATAGTAAAGCTACTTGTGAAAATATTACTGTTAAATATTCAAGAAGAGGAAAATGGCCAACATTAATCCTGAAGGGATAGCTATCCTTGACTTTAAACTAAAAACCAGAAAACATCTGACTGAAAGCTAGCCACACAGGCAGCATATTGTGGTAGAAAAAACTATAAGCAGGGAGTTAGGTGGCATAGGTTCTAGTCCTGGTTCTGACTCTAACAAGCTGTGCAAGCTTGAACAAGTGATTATACTTCTTAGGCCTCAATTTCATCACCTGTAAAACAATGATCTGAAAGGTTTCTTTCAGCAGTACCCCACATTTCCATGATCAAGAACTCTAAACTCTAACCTTCCTTTATCTGATCATAATTTCCTATCACTACAAGTGTCTCTACACCTTGCCCCTCCTAACCCTATCCTTATCCTCACTAAGGCTCATAATCTCTCCAAACCTCAGGGCTTCTCCAGGCCATCAGCCTATTCCACCATTCTCCTCCCCGGACTAGACTATTTACTGAATCAATTCAACCCTGCCCTACTCTCTAATCTTCTGTTCTCTTGTCCTACCTCTACTCTGTGCCTTACAAAGCCACAATCCTGAATACTCCCATCACCCACCTCTCTGCTCCTACAGATGTACTGGTAATTGGAGCTAGAGAAATCACACAACCACCACCTGGGTAAACCATAAATTTATGTTATCCAGTCTCAACTAGGTCCTCATTCAGCAAGGCAGTCCTTTAACTCCTTCCTAATCTATGCTGTAGTCCAGGGGTGGGTGACTTCACTTTTCTGTGAAGTTTGGATTCAGTCAGAGGGCTGTACTTGAAGACCTAGAGGACCACATGTGGCCTCGAGGCCTCAGGTTCCCCACCCCTGAATCTAATGGCCTTTTTTCTATCTTCATATTTCTTGATCTCTATAATATTTTAGGCTGTTGACTCTCTCCTCCTGGAAACTCTCTTCTCTGGGTTTTCAAGACTCTCTCCTGCATTTCAGTTGCACATCTTCAACCACCCAGTAGACATTTCAAACTAGATGTCCAAAACAAATCTCAAATTTAACATGTCCAAAATGGAGTTCAGTATCTTTCCCTCAAAACTCACCCCTCTTCCAAACTTTCCTATTACTCTCATGGGTACCACCAGTCACCCAAGCTCATAGCCTCAGTGTGATCCTCTAGTCTCCATTCTCAAACACCCCACCTAGCGAATCAGTTACCAGATCTTATTGCTTCCAGCTCCTTAACATCGCTCAGATATGCCCCCCTTCTCTACTCACATGGTCATCATTGTAGCTCATCACCCTCCACCTGGACTATTGCAATAGCATCCTATTCTGTTTTCCTCTCTAAAATCCCTCCTCAATCTATCCTCCACATACCCACCAAAGTGATTTTCCCAAAGTGGACATATAACCATGTCATGCCCCAACTCAGTAAGCTCCAGTGGTTCCCTATTACCTCTATAATTAAATATAAACACTTCTGCTTTGGCATTTAAAGCTCTTCACAATCTGACCCTTTTATAGCTTCCCATTCTTCTTGGATATTAATCCCCTCCACACTTTTGAACCATAGGGTCCTGCTTGCTGTTTCTTACGCATGAACCTCCAGCTCCTTTCCTCATGCCTTCGCACTAGACATCCCCTATGCCTGGAATGCTCTCTCTCCATATTTCTGCCTTCTAGTAACTTTGGTTTCCTTTGAGATTCAGCTCAAGCAATACCTACTTTGGGAGGTCTTTCCTGGCTCCCCCAAGGACTATTTCACTTTTTGTATCTCGAGCATTCAGCATAGTCCTTGGAACATAGCAGGCTCTTAAAAATAAATGCTTGTTGACTGAAGGATTGATTGCTTTGCCTTCTATTTATTTCACTATTCCTTCTCTTTTCCTGAATCATCATTCCTTTTTTCATTCTGAACTTAAGACATAAAACAAGCATTTCCATAACATAGTAGAATAGAAAAAAAAATATTGTAGATGAAACTGTAAATTTACCATGTATAACTTGCTAGTCCTTTTAAATATATAATAAAGTTATAATATAGCTTTCTTTTTTTTCTTCCCTCTTCCTATCCCCACCCTAGAGATGGCTACCATTAGATATAAATATTACACACACACACACACACACACACACACATACACACAAAACCATTCTACACATACTTCTACTTATCAGTTCTTTCTCTGGATGCAAATAATGTCTTTCTTCATATGTCCTTTGTAGTTAATTTGGGCATTTATAATAGTCAAAATGACTTAGTTGCTCAAAGTTGTTCTTAACACAATACTGCTGTTGCATCATTCATTTCCTACCCTCCTTTCTGTAGGGTTTCATAGTACTTTGTCCTAGGTCTTCTTTCCATACATCTATGGTTCCTTGTAGATCTTATCAGTTCCCATAGGTTCAAGTATCTTCTCTCCTTAGGGAACACCCATCTCTATAAGTACAGCCCTAATATCTTGCTAAACTCTAGGTCCACTTTACAAACTGCTAACTAAACATCTCAGGAATCTCAAATTCAATATGTCCAAAGCAGAACTCATTTTCTCCTCCCTAAAACTTGCTATTTCTATTGAAGGCACCACTACCCTTTCAGTGACCTTTACTTTTCCTTCTCTTTCACCTCCCCCCACCCTCTGCCACCAGAACCAATAAGTGGTGGTGGTGGGAGCAATATCCTAAACCCCTGACCTCCATGTACATTAGGCTAGTTGGTTTTTTGCTTTTTGTTTTTTCCTTAAAAAGTAATGAAATTGGCAGAGCCAAGATGGCAGAGTGAAAGCAGTGACTTGCTTGAGCTCTCCCCCAAACCCCTCCAAGTACCCGTAAAAAATTTGTTTTAAACAAATTCTGAAGCAGCAGAACCCAAAAAAAGACAGAGTAAAACAAATTTCCAGCCCAAGACAACCTGGATGGTTGATTAGAAAGGTATATCATGCTGGGGAGGGAGCGGAGTGCAGTTCAGAGTGGATGCACAGGCTGCAGGGAACCTGGGACAGGCCTCAGAGGACTGAATCAGGGGCAGCTGTGGAGGTTTCCAGACTTCTCAACCCCCAAACACCAAAGACAACTTAGAAGGTCAGTGGGAAAAGTCTGTTTCTGCTGGGAGAAGCTCAGGGTTTCAGCCCCATTCCCCGAGGAGTTCGGCCCCGAGACTGTGGCTGCCTCCTGAGCTTCCAGCCCATAGACTGAAGGGGAATCCAGTGGCTGATCAGAGGGGGATTGCAGGGCTCTCTCTGCTGGTGCAGGCTTCTCTTGCTTTGCCCATGCTTGGATCTGGGTCACAGTTCTGGGCGGTGGTCCTGGGGTGAGGAGGAGTGCTGGCACGGTGGAGTTTGTAGTGGCTATGAAGAGAAAACCCTCCACACAGTTCTAAGACAGAAAAGAGTGCTTGTGGTCACTTATAGACCACAGCACAGGCCAGGAAAGGAGTAAACACCTCACCCCTTATCATACCACCTTGAAAGAACTGAAAATTTACAGGTCCCTAGAAGTATCTCTGAAAATAGCTGCACAAAACCCCTGAAGCTTGGGACAGTACATTCTCCACAATGGAAGCAGACTTTTACCTTAACAAAGAGTTTAAAACTCAAGTAGTTGGCTGGGATCATGAGCAAACCTCGCAAAAAGAGTCAGACTACATTATCTTACTTTGGTGACAAAGAAGATCAAAACATACAACCAAAAGAATATAACAAAGTCAAAGCTCCTATATCCAAAGCCTACAAGAAAAATATGAATCAGCCCCAGGCCTTGGAAGAGCTCAAAAGGGACTTTGAAAAGCAAATAAGAGAAGTAGAGGAAAAACTGAGAGTGATGCATGAAAATCATGAAAAACAAGTCAACAGCTTACTAAAGGAGACCCAAAAAAATACTGAAGAAAATAACACCTTAAAAAATAGCCTAACCCAAATGGCAAAAGAGGTCCAAAAAGCCAATGAGGAGAAGAATGCCTTAAAAAGCAAAATTGGCCAAATGGAAAAGGAAGTCCAAAAGATTACTGAAGAAAATACTTCCATAAAAATTAGAATAGAGCAATTGGAAGCTAGTGACTTATGAGAAATCAAGACACTGTAAAACAAATCCAAAAGAATGAAAAATTAGAAAACAATGTGAAATATCTCATTGGAAAAACAACTGACCTGGAAAATAGATCCAGGAGAGAAATTTAAAAATTATTGGACTATCTGAAAGCCATGATCAAAAAAAGAGCCTAGACATCATCTTTCAAGAAATTATCAAGGAAAACTGCCCTGATATTTTAGAACCAGAGGGCAAAGAAATGAAAGAATCCACAATCTCCTCCTGAAAGAGATCCCCAAAGGAAAACTCCTAGGAATATTTAGCCAAATTCCAGAGTTCCCAGGTCAAGGAAAATATTACAAGCAGCCAGAAAGAAACAATTCAAGTATTATGGAAACACAATCAGGATAACACAAGATTTAGCAGCTTCTACCTTAAGGGACCGCAGGGCATGGAATATAATATTCTGGAGGGCAAAAGAGATAGGATTACAACCAAGAATCACCTACCCAGCAAAGCTGAGTATAATCCTTCAGGGGAAAAAATGGTCATTCAGTGAAATAGAGGACTTTCGAGCAGTCTTGATGAAAAGACCAGAGCTGAATAGAAAATTTGACTTTCAAATACAAGACTTAAGTGGAATTTGAAGAGGTAAACAGGAAAGAGAAATCATAAGAGACTTATTAAGGTTGAACTGTTTACATTCCTGCATGGAAAGATGATATTTGTAACTCATGAGACCTTTGTCAGTATTAGGATAGTTGGAAGGAAAAAATTATATGTATGTAGATAGATAGATAGATAGAGGGCACAGAGTGAGTTGAAGACGAAGGGGTGTTATCTGGAGTATAAAATTAAGGGGTGAGAGAGGATTACACTAGGAGAAGGAGAAAGGGAGAGGTAGAATGGGGTACATTATCTCACACAAAACAGACAAGAAAAGGCTCTTACAGTAGAGCGGAAACGGGGGAAGGTGAGAGGGAATGAAGGAATCTTGTTCTCACAGGATCTGGCTTAAGAAGGGAATAACATATACAATGGAGTATGGAAATCTATCTTACCCTACAGGAAAATAAGGTGGGGAAGGGGACAAGAGAGCAGGGAGATGATAGAGAGAAGGGCAGATTGGGAAAGTGGCAATCAGAAGCAAATACTTTTGAGGAGGGACAGGGTCAAAAGAAAGAATAGAATAAAGGGGGGGCAGGATAGGATTAAGGGAAATAGAGTTATTTTTTCACAACATGTCTACTGTGAAAGCGTTTTGCATAACTGCACATGTATGGCCTATATTGACTTGCTTGCCTTTTCAATGAGGGAGGGAGGAAGGGAGAAAATTTGGAACCCAAAGTTTTAAAAACACATGTTTAAAAAAAATGTTTTCACATGCAACTGGGAAGTAAGAAATACAGGAAATGGAGTACAGAAATCTATCCTGCCCTACAAGAAAATAGAAGGAGAAGGGAATAAGATAAGGAGGGGACAGACAGAACAGAGGGCAGTCTAGGGGAAGAGGTATTCAGAATGCATGCCATCTTGGGGTAGGGGGAGGGGCAAGATGGGGTGAAATTTTGGAATTCAAAATCTTGGGGAAGTAAATGTTGAAAACTAAAAATAAATAAATTTATATTTTTCAAAAAAGCAAAAGAAAAGTAATGAAATCATCCTATCAACTTGATCATCTCAGGGGACCAAAGGGTCAAACTACTAACATCCCTTCCTGGTCACCTGAGTATAACACATCCATGAGGAGCCCCAGGTACCCTCTAATATTTGGCCAGTAGAACTCAGAGTCTTTCCCCAAAAAACTACTTTTTTTCCCTTTTTTTGAATTCTGAACTTCATAAACATCAAACATGAACATCTCCATATATAAAGAAGAAAAAATATTTTGTATGGAATTTGAATCTGCATTACAAGCAAATAAAGTCTATATTAAATTTAACATGGTAGTACCAAAGCTACCCTACTGTTCTCTGTCCCCTTCTGAACTTCCTTCTGTTATGAGTATTTTTTAAATGTTTCATTGGTGCTCTTTTCTTTCTTTTCTTCCTTTTTTTGGCATCTCCATCATTACCACTGCACTCTCACATAACTCTCTCCCTACCCCAGAAATAAATTGTAATAAATAAATGTATTTAAGCAAAATAATTCCACATAAAGGGCATATGCGATAATATGCCTCATTCTACACCTCCATTACTGTCAAGGGCAAAGCTATCTTTCCATTCACCCAGAGTCCCATCTTTGGTGTCATCCTTGACTCTTAGCTCTTCACTCTTCCTCATCTCACATCTCCTATCAGTTGTCAAATCTTGTCATTTCTACCTCCACAATATCTCTCCTCTTTTGCCTTCTCTCCACTCCCACAGCCCCCACCCTAGTTGTAGGGCACATCACCTCTTGCCTAGACTACTGTAACAGCCTCCCAAATTGGGCTCCCTGCTTCAACTTTCTCCCCATTCTACTCCATCTGCCCCATTGCTACTGTAGTGATTTTCCTAAAGCCCAGACCTGTTCATATCACTCCTCTACTTAATACGTTCCAATGGCTCCCAATTACCTCTAGGATCAAATATGTACTCCACTTCACATTTAAAGTCTTTCACAACCTGGACCCAACCTACCTTTCCACACTTATTACATACTGTTTTTCATGTGTTCTGTAATCTAGCCAAACCTGCCTTCTCATGGAACTCATGAGGGTGGTGCTCATACGTGGTACTCAATCACTGCACTTCTGCCCTTTTAGCCCATCCTGTCTGGAATGCACTCCCTCCTCACTTCTCAGAATCCATAGTTTAATTCAAGGCAAAGCTCAAGTGTACCTGAAACTTTCTTGATCCCCACAGCTCTAGTGCCCACCCTCCTCTAAGTTATCATTTATCAATTCTATATTTTTCTGTAGAGGTCCAGGACATCTCCTAAAGCTACATTAGAAACTCCTTTTTAGGGCAAGAACTGTTTCATTTTTGTCCCCAGCACATCATACATAGCATGCCCTTAATATAGTAAACAGCCATGGACTGACTGATTGATTTCCCATGATTGGAAGGCACTCCCCATCTGTCCCCTCATCTCTCCCTCTCAGAATTCTTCTCCTTATTCAAAGTTCAACTCAGATGCCTTCTCATTCCTCAATTTTTCTTACACTACAAACTATAGTACAAAATACACTTGTACTATATATTCTTTGTATATGTGTAGTATCTCCCCAAAAGATTACAAGCTCCTTGAAGAAAAGGTACTGTTTAGTTTTTATTATTTATTATTATATTTTTTTATTACTTAGATATTTATTTTGTATGTGTATATATTATACATTTATATGTAATTTATATTATATTTTATTTATATATTATTATTATTGTATCTTCAGCACCTAAGATAGTGCCTTAGTGCCTGACCAAGTGATTAACAAATATTTGTTGAAATGAACTGCCAAATTTACTCTTCAAAGCTCAGTTCGAGTGTTACATCTCCGTGAAGCTTTCCCAGGTGGTTGTACTCAAATGGGATCATATATTTATTTGTTTTATAGCTGAATTACAAATTCCTGAAGAATAGAGACCGTGTCTTATCCTTTTCCCCCCACACACTGTGATTTGAACAATGCTGGGCATGTATTAAGCGTTTCATAAGCATTGCTGACTGACAAATTGATTTCTTGAATTTTACCTTTTTCATCCCATCTCCGTACTGTGCCTCCAGCAGGAAATCCAAGGTCTGGTCATTTGTGAAATACCCAGGAGTAGGTTGGCTAAGAGCATAAACAAAACAGACAGTCAGGGAGATAAGAACTCCCATCCTTTTTCTCATATACAGGTCCTAGGCACCAAACTGGGCAATTACTCTAAGCAATTCTGAGATATAGAGAAGGAAACTGGAATTCTAAGAAATAAGAGACACTACAGTAGGTATATTACAAACCTGTGTAGGCCTTGGAGATTCAGCATCCAATGACGTGCAAGGTCTTGACCCCGAAGAAAGACAAGGCCCTGTCTGGTTGTGATGAGGAGGTTGCTGTAGTTGCTATCCGGTGCTTTTACCAACTGGAGGAATTCAACCTCATCACTAAGGGAAGTAAAACATAAGCAATTTATGTTCTGTGGCCCCTCTGGTTGGCTTTTTGTGTACACCTTATATTTCTCACCTTCATTTAAAGAGCAGGCATGCTGCCAATCTCTGTTCAACCTGATTTTCTTGATCTTTAGGACACCCCTAGCTGGTCCTCATAGAAACACCAAGAGAGGCACATAAAAGAGCGTTACTTGGACACACCTCTCCACTAAGTATTCTGGGAGTGTAAGAAAGATAATCAGGCCAAAATTACAGAACAATGGAAGAAACCATATGCCTGAAAAACTAGATGCCTGAATCCTGCATTAAAATCTGCCAATGACTCGGCCAAATTATTTAGCTTCTCTGTAAAATTGAGACCATTATATTTATTACCTATGTACCTATGTACCTATGTACTTCCCAGAGATACAAAGGGAGTTAGTAACAAAATGCTGAAAAAGCCCTTTACAATTCCAAAGAGAAAAGCACAAATTACGATGAGATAATAAACAGGAAAGGAAAATGGGATTCCCATTATGCTATTGTAATTCATGCTAAACAGTAAAAAAAAATGCTCAAATTGAGGAAAGTATGTGGATAAACTATGAAGTAAGAACTTAATCACAGCCTTGTTACAGGTTAAAAACAGGTTTCAAAAGCTTAAAAGATTCCTGGATCTCACATACCCAATAAATAAATACTATAGATGTACTGTCACCTCTCCCTGCAGGAGTTGAGGTACATATGCCATGAAGATGACCATTACATGCTTTTCTGCATAAATATGGCATTACTGACAAACCAATACACAGCAAAAGGTACAGATGGAGGCGTATTATAATTCACACAGTTTCTTCTCTAATCCTGTGGCCCAGACAACACTGCAGGTTCCTGTAGCACATGGGCATTTGTTGATTTACCTAAGGGCTTTACCATAACCAAAGTTAGAAGACAACAGCCCTACCTATAAACGTCAATAAGCTCAGACAGGTTGACGGATCTTCTCTTCTCCCAATCTGGTTCTTCTATCTGCAACGAAGGCGGTGAGCTGTCCCGGTTTAGGGCCTGGACAAAAATATCCCTCAGGGCAATGGCCTGAATGTTACCTAGCATTACAAGAAGAAACCAATACTGAGCCAATCACAGGATCCAAGTTGAAAGGGAAGTTCCAACCCAGCCTGACAAGATGGGTCTGACTCAGAAAAAAATGGGAAAGTGACTAAAACAACCTCTTAGGAGGTGTGATAGGGAAGAATAGGACCAACACAAGCAAATGGACAGGGGAGAATCCTAGGCTTCTGCTAGTAGGAGATACTGTAGAGTACAGTTCCAAAGTCTCCCCTGCTTTCACTGTGTCCCACAAGAGAGACCTAACCATATCCTTGGGCACTCTTACCAAAGCCAAACAGTATATAGATCGCCCCATGTGTGGTGATGTAAACCTGAGGACCAACCAGATTGCCCTCTTTCACGATGTTGTACTTCACAGGCCGGCCCAGAGGAATTCCTGTCTTGCCTGAAACTAGCAGGAAACAGAGCTCTCCCTGTAGAGATGAGAAGAAAAGGTGGGCAGCAGTAGAAGAAAATAAGTTAATGGTGGACCCGACATTTCCTATTTTCGAATATCATACTGGAATGGATGTCAAAGATCATCTGGTCTATCTCCCTCAGTTGAAATCCTCTTGTTAATTAAAAGACTAAGAACATATCCCAGAATCAGAACATGTGTAACCAAAATTGTGTTGCTCATCCTCTACTAGTATGAAGGTGAGAAGAATCCCTTACTTTAAGGGAACTAAAAATGCACAAAGGTAAATGCCCAGGAAGAGGTTAGGGCATCTTTCCATCCTCAGTAACCAGCCCAGTTAAGGATGTGAATACAGATCAGGGGAAGGCAAAGAGGTCTTCCTCGCCAATACACGATGATATCAGGAAATCTGGCCTGAATCATCACTATAGTAATCTGCCTTGTTTTGATAGGATTACTGTGAATGGAATATCATATCTTGATTTCAGCATGGCATCTGATATAATCTCTATAACATAGACAAGATACAGACAAGATGGAGGAATTTAGTCTGGGTCATAGCGCAGTTAGGTGGATTAAGAACTGTTCAAACAACTTCATCCAAAGAATGCTGGTTAAGGAATACATAGCAATCTAGCTAGCAGGAGAAGGGGAGCCTCTCTTAATGGCCTGATGTAAGTCAGACGTCAATCCAGTGTTATGTAAACCAACTATAGAAAACTAACTATTCTAAGAATTGAGAAAAGAGTACATTCCAGGCATAAGGAACAGCCTGTTCAAGTCAAATCAAGTCAAATTAACAAGCACTTATTAAGCCTCTACTATGTGTTGAGCACTGTACTAAATGCTAGGAATACAAAGAAAAGTAAAAAAGAATCCCTACTTTTGATGAATTCACTGAACTCACTAATAGGAAACACAACATGCAAATGACTACGTACAGACAAGTTATACATAAGATAAATTTGAAATAATCAGTGAGGGAAGACCACAGAATTAAGAGGGGTTGTCTAATCTTTTTCAACAATTTAGTCATTACTCAGCACAGTGCTTGGCACAGTAAGTGCTCAATAAATGCTTTTTCATTCATTCATGAAGACATAGGAAGCTTGCTTATTAAAGCCACATATAACACAAAAGTAGAAGAGATAGCTAAAACACTGAATGTCAGAATAAAGATTCAGAAATTCTCAAAAGGCTAAAAAGATAGGACAAAACTAACAAAATGAAAATTACCACATAAACTTGAAGTCTTGAATCTAAGTTTAAAAAAACAATAGGGCAGATAAAGGATGAAGGAGACATAACAGTAGTTCTCATTTTTTAAAAATGAGGGATTTTAATTAGCTGTGCACTCAATATGAGCTAAGTGTAATGTAATACCATCTTAGACTGCATCGACAGCAGTACTGTACAATGCTCACCATCAAGGCAGTCCCTAATAGTCCCATTTAACTCTGCATGAGTCAGAACACATTTAGGCACAATATTTTATGAGGGATATTGACAAACTGAAGAATTTCCAGAGAGAACAATCAATATTGTGAAGGGTCTGGAAACTACTTAATCTAAGGAGGAGACAGCTGAGAGAAAGAGTATTCGATTCAGTTGAATTGAAAGAGAAGACCTGGAGGGGCATTATCACTGTCTTCAAATATCTGAAGGTTGTCATATGGAAGAAGGATTAGATTTATCATACAGATCAGAACTTCAATGGAAAGATAAAAGTTATAGGGAATCATATTTTTGCTAAATATACTTGACTTTCATGGCTTTCCTTCTATCCTCTGTGATTCCTTTTCTGTTTTTCATTAGTGCCTCATCCTCCTTCCAAGTCTTAAATGTGGGTATCCCCCAATACTGCAAGGTTCAGTTCCTGGCCTATTCTCTTCTCAATTTCATTTACTTAGTATTTATTAAGTGCCTACCAGGTACAAGGATACAAAGACAAAAGCAAAATATTGCCTGCCCACGAGAAATTTTCAAGCTTCTGTACCTCAAGGTATGTCTAAGGTACATATAAATACAGAGCAATTTCAGGAATGGTGCACTAAGGACTGAGGGCATCAGGCAAGGTCTCAAATAGAAGGTGGCACCCATGCCTTAAAAGAAGTGAAAGATTCCAAGAGGCAAAGATGAGAAGAGAGGCCATGGGGTGTGAGAGCCTGTGCAAAAAGTGCCAAGGTAGCAGAAGGAATGGCATGTATGAGAAACAGTTTGGCTGGAATGAAGAATGTTTGAGGAAAGGTAATAGGAAATAAGAGAAGATGGAGATAGTTTCTCTCTCTATCTGATTTGATCCACTTCTATGGCTTCAATGATCACCTCTATAGGGATGACTCCCAAATCTATATTCCCTTCCAATCCCTCCCCTGAGTCTCATTCCTTATTTTCAGTTGCCTGTTGGATATCTTCACCTGAATCACAGAATCATAGATAATGCTGGGAGGACCTTTAGAGGCCATCAAATCCAACGCCTTCATTTTACAAATGAGTAAAATGAGGCCTAGGGGGTAAGTGACTTTTTATAGGTCACACAGATAATAAGACCTATTACTGGTGTGATCTTGGGCAAGTCACTTAACTTTGGGCCTCAGTTTGGATGCCTTTTGAGGCCCCTTCCAGCTCTCAACCTATGATCTTATAATGTGAGGGAGCAGGTTCTAGCTTGAGAACCAAGACTGCTGACTTCAAATCCATTGCATTATGTGTTTCATCACCCTGCCTCCTACTGGCACTTCTAATTCAATGTGTCTAAAATTGAACTCCTAACACTTTCTGCCAAATCTGCTCTTCCTCCTTGTTTCTCTAGCTCTAAATTCTTACCCCCAACTCCCCACCAATTCTCAATCTCTATTGCTGGCACTACCATTCTATTTGTCATCCAAGTGCAAAACTTTGGAGTCATCTTGGCCCTCAGTTTCCATATCTAAGTGATTGCCATATGATGCCAATTCTACCTTGGCAACATCTCTTGAGTTTTTCTCCATCTTCTCATTACCACAGCAACTCTAGTGTACACCCTCATCTCTTTTCACCTAAGACAATCATAAGATCCTACTAACATGTATTCCTGACTTTAGTCTATTTTCTTTCCAATTTTTTTGTACTGCTACCCTAGCAATCTTACAAATGCACTGATCTAATCATATTATTCCATTCAAAATCCTTCAGTGTAACACTTGTGGTTGTTCTTGTCAATCATTTCAGTCATGTCTGACTCTTCATTACTCCATTCAGGGTTTTCTTGGCAAAGATACTAGAGTGGTTTGCCATTTCCTTCTCTAGCTCATTTTACAGATGAGGAAACTGAGACAAACAGGATTAAGTGACTTGCCCAGGGTCATATAGCTAGTGTCTAAGGCCAGCATTTACACATAATGCTTTACAGTTTGCAAGACATTTTACATGCCTACATGTTGTCCTCACAACCCTAGCAGATAGGTGCTACTGTTACCCCTTTTTAACATATAAGGAAAAGTTAAGGCACAGAAAAGTGAAGTGACTTGCCCAGGCTCACATAGCTAGAAAGACAGGATTCAAACTCAGGTCTTCTTAGGCACAAGTCCAGCATTCTATGCGCTGGTCAAAGAGTGCTGAGAGTCACAGTTTAGGCCACCCATCAACATTAACTTCGTTGTTTTGTCTCCTAAATGTAATATCCTTGCCCAGTAGCCAATCAGTGCAGCCCAGTAATGTTGTCGTCCCTATCTGGGGTTTTCTTGGCAAAGATGCTGGGGTGGTTAATCTTTTCTTTCCCCAGTTCATTTTACAAATGAAGAAACTGAGGCAAACAGTTATGTGACTTGCCCAGGGTCACGAAGTTAGTAGGAGTCTGAGGCCAGATTGGAACTCAGGAAGATGACTTTTCTTGACTCCAGGCCTGGTCTACTGCACCACCTAGCTGCCCTAAGTGTATCCCTACTACATAACAAATAAGATATAATTTTAAATTGCAAACCATCTGTTTCTAACCTATATTTCCAGCAATACCCCAGCAATTCCCACACACTTGACACTCCAGCCGAATTAAACAACTCTGTCTCCTACACTCATCTAAACTACTGTCTCTAATGCCTTTGCTCCTACCATTTCCCCATTCTCCAAATGGACTCCCCTTACCTTCCTCCCCTGTATCTGTTCCTATACTTTTTTTCCTTCCAGGTCTAACTTGGGTGATTCTCTGACCCCACCTTACCAAGTCAAAGTGATCTCTATTGCATCAAATTTCTCATTGCACACAGTAGGCAATTAATTAATAAAAATATATTTTATTGAATTAGAGCAATACAAAAATGAAATGGGCTATCTTGAAAAGTAGAGTGTTCTCTATCTCTTGAACTATTCAAGCAGATTCTGGATGACCACCTACCAAAGGTATAATAAAGGGCACCCGTGCAGTTAGTGGGATGATAGATTAAATGACTTCGATTCTAAGGCAGGCTACCTCCTTTGAGCTAACCAGGCCCACCTTAATCAGGACTGAGATGTAGACCCCACAAACTAACCTCCAGAGATGAGAGAGTACCATAAACTTGGGTGTTAAATTGTATCTTACATATAATCCAAGTCATCTCTTTGTCATATACATATCCTGAATTGACTGGGACACTTTTACAGACACTGTATCGTTAGTGCAAGGGTCAAAAGAAGTTAACAAAAGGCTGAAATCCATTTCTCTACTCCCTTTAATTTCGCCATTATTATCTTTATCATTTCCCAATGAAAATTACTCCCTTTACATCATCTCTCAACGTATCCCACATAGAACTATAATTAAGATGAAGTAAGCAAGGCAATGTCCTGGGTATAACATAGAAAGAAAGAAAAAAAAAAGGCACAGAGCTTCTGCTGGATCTGGAGCAGGCAAGAAACCAAAGCCCCTGTAAAGTCTTATCCTGATAAAGGCCTGAACCCTAGTTCTGTCCACCATATTGAAAGAAGCCCTACCCCAGAAATAAGCCATATAGAGTGGGAAGAAACCTGTCCTGGGCACCAACGCTTTGTTTCCTTTTCCACGCAACCATAATCTTGTCAAAGAAACTTCCTCTCCAAAAAGTTGAAAACAATCCCTTAGCCCCTAGGGTCTCTAGAACAGAATTACTGATAATGATCAGGAAACTTGCATCCAATTGAACAGATTCTTAGACAAAATTAATGTTGTGGCTGATTCTGGTATTATTGGCTTAAAGTTTTAGTTCATTGAGCACGGAAAGTAAGAAGAAAAGTCCCAAAACATTAGTGGACCACTGAAAAGGAATCAATTTTTCTTCTGCCTTAAAGAAGGTGGAGTATGATTTGGGATACTAGAGAAGAAATACATACTATCCTTGATTGTGCTATATTTGTTTTGACTTTTACCTCCAAGGCTGGTAAATTCTAGAACTTCTGTAAACTCTAATAAAATACTTTTAAAAAACATAACATGAGAAAAATATGCATTGAAAACCAGAGCGGAGTGGTCAGACATAAAACAATGGCTATCATAGTAAATTAGTTGTTTTGTTTCATTTTTTTGAATAGAACCGTAAGTCCAACTGCTTAGCTGAAAGCTTCAATTAATCAATTAATTAATAATAAATAAATGCTGGGAAAACAGACAAAAGTGAAGCAGTCACTGAGCTTACATTCTACCAGGTGAAAAAACATATCCCTTATAGGTAGGTACTGAATAAGTACAAAATAAATAAAAAGTAGTCTGGGATGGGAGGGCACCAGCAGCTTGAGGGAGAGGGTAGAATAGGAAAGGCTATAATAGGAATAATTACAATACCTTATATGTGTAGAGTCCTTTACAAGTTTAAAAAAAAAAGAATAATTACAATACCTTATATGTGTAGAGTCCTTTACAGGTTTAAAAAAAAAAACAGACATTCCTATTTATTATTTCCCCAGGATAGTAAGAAAACTAGGAAATGACTAAACCTGGATAGAGGTACTCCTACTCTCATATTCTTTCAAAATGAGGGTCATCTAATTGAGGCCATACCTGTAAGTGCTTAGTGGTCAGAACCAGGAGATCTCTAACTCCATCATCTTCCAAATCTGGCAGCACCACAGCTGAGGAGACCAAAGTCCCATTGGACAAGTGGCTTGGGTTTAGAGTCCAAATGGCTTTGCCTATGGGAGAACAAGCAGACTAACTGCTGATGTGACTTTGTATTAGCAAACCTTTCACCTCACAGAGAAGAAAAAAACAGAGCTGGAGAAAAAAAAAAGTCACCTTCTTCTCCCTTGTCCCCTCCTCATTTCACAGGTGGCATGTGGAAGTGGGGAATTTGTTTAGCAAAATAAAGCAATGTATTAAATTCACATATGATTCAAAAGATGTTGCTGAAATTAGCCTGGGAAAGAGCAAATGATAATTTTTGGAGGGGAGGGAGACGTTGCAGGTGGTTTGTTGTATGGCTTGTCATATGGACAAGGATTAGAGGGAATTATTCAGAAAACCTACTCTCTATCTCTACCCCAAGACACTTAAGCAAATATCAGAAAAAGCATGGGAGAGCCTTCAAAGATAGTTTATGAGTCATGTACAATAACACCAATGTTACCACCTCTTTTTGACCAACACTTGCATTTCCTGGATTGATCACCCACTTTACTCACTAGATTTGGTTTCTAATGACTTTAAGTTGTTTCTAAAAAATCTACTATACACTCAAAGAACAAAAATCTGAGGGCATTCAAAAGACTGCATTACAGGCTCAGAAGGCAATTCCAAAAGTGGAATTCTAATAATTATACACATACAGCTCCCTGAAGTGACTACTTTATAAAGGAAATAACACCCACCTGAATGTACAAATTGTACATTTGCTAAAAATCTAGATATGTCACTTCATTAATTGCACATAATAGGTGTTTATTGTTTTTACTCCAAAACTTTACCTGGGAAGAAAATTCAGTGACAGATGTGCCTCAACCGTGCATTTTACAAATAGCACATAAGTAAGTCTAGTAGCATATACCATTATTTAATTATTTTCAGTGCAATTCAGGTTTCCTAGCTAAATAACCAAATTAGCATTGCTTAACAAACCATGATTTCTTCATGAATTTTTAAGTAGCTAAATTATGTGTTTAAACATCAACTCCTGTGAGTCAATTCTGACATTCCAAACTTGGATGTCTTTGGGGAAAATATAATGGAGAAAGGAGGTTGGGGCATTTTTTGTTTGAAGAATAACACATTTTTGTCCAAACTTAACAAAACAGATAAATCTGAATTTTTTTTGTTCAATGTTCTCTAATTTCTTCCCTGATATCCTATAAAATATGTCTTTCATACTAAGAAATTAAACTTCCCATCATGGAGGAGGCAAGGGTCCTATTGGGAATGATCTAACTGATTTTCATAACTCATAATTATTTCTCTGTGACATGTCATCCTTACCTGAAGTGGCATTGAGGGCACTGAGCAGCTTGGATATCCCAGTCACAAGACAGATGGCTTCTGCTGAGTCTACTGGAGTTAGCCCAGAGCATTGTAAACTTTGTGCCTCCTCTGAGAGAGGAGTGGTCCAAAGAGTGCTACCATTTACCCCTGAAAGAGCTAGCAGGGTGGCCCGGGGCTTCGGGACACCTGAAGGCACATAAGAAAAAGGAAGAGAAAAGAGTTACTTGCTAGTATTGCATAGGCACCAAAAAGTACAAGAAAATCATTCTCTCCCCTCAAGGAGTTTACAATCATTTGGAGGTCAAAATAAAAAAGCACGAGAAGTTAAACAATAAGATTTGAACAGTTGACAGCTGTTTCTCCTGTAAAATGAAGAGAGTGATACTTTTTAATCTAGCTATGAATAACAAAATATGTTGCTCTTCATGGATACCAACAATGCTGTTGATCACTTGTGAGTGCTCTGAGCTGTTTGTCTAAGGGTAGTGATGAATTGGCATTTATCCATCTATGTGCTCTCACCTATCCCTCTTGTGACCAATGAATGGTGCATATTTATAAGGCAGCTGGCCAAGGGTATGCGTGTGATGGATCCATGGCCATGGATCAGAGTAAATCTAGCTGTATCTAATGGGCCTTAAACCCATGATTTTACTCATGGGCTTAAGTAATCATCACTGTGATTCCAACAGTAGGGAATCTCGAAAGGCTGGAAGCCACCCTGTTTTATGAGCTAGAAAAAGCTAGTAAAGAAAATATTTTTTTTATGCTGACAGCTACTAAAGCAAAGAAAAAATAAGTAAGAACCATATATAAGTTCTTTTAAAAAACTTAATCGTGTGTTTTTAAATAAATAAAATATTTCATTGATCCACTTTCTAAATTAAAAACAAAGAACAGAACTATGCAATAAATATAATAAATAAGTGTGATGCCTCCTAATTGAAGGCTGGACTTTTTTCATACTCTATTTATGCCCAAATGGTTTATGTGCATTGTAAAAAAAAATCATATAAGAAATTTCTAGCTGCAAAAGTAAAGTTCAAAGTTTGATACTTTTGATGAACACCTAGATTTTCATAATGGGGACCCCAAATAAATGTCTTGGGACAAGAAATTTGAATGGATTACTTTCATCCTCAAGCAAAAATAAAAGTTATACAGTTTCACAAACTAGCTCTAATAACAATAATAATAATAATAATAATAGCTCCAGTCCTCTTTAATGAATGTTGCAGCCATGTGAGGAGAGACATAAAGTTTCCCAAAAAGTCTCCCAATCAAATAGATTCAGCATTGTGTCTCTTACCTATTAAACTCTCATTTCTTAGGTTCACAAAGGAAAGCAGGACATCAGGCAACCCATCACCATTCACATCAACCAGTTCCAGTGGAGACAAGCCCCCCACCTATTATGTTGACAGAGGAAAAGAAGATATTTAGCAAATCCATCAACAAGCAAATGCCTACTATGTACCAAACACTCTTCTAGGACCTTGGGACACAAACACAAAAATGAAACAGACTTCATAAAGGAGCTTACATTCTATCAGAGAAACAACATGTACACAAATAGATACAAAGTAATGGGGAGAGAGAGGTCAGCAACATCTGAGAGAATAAGGAAAGACTTCAAGTAGAATGGGATACTTGAACCAAGTCTTGGGGAAAAAAAATAAGGGTTTCTAAGACGCAGCAGTAAGGAGGGAGTGCATGCCTTGTATGAGAAAGGATTAAAGCCATGACACAAAGAAAGGAGATTGTGCATCATGTGTTATGAACAACAGGAAGGTCAGTTTGGCTGAACTGTAAAGTGAAAGAAGGGGAGTGACGTATAATAAAGTTGGAAAGGAAAATTGGAGCCAGGTTACCAAGAGTTTTCAGTGACAGAGGAGTTTACATTTGATCATAGAGGGAACAGCAAACCAACAGAGTTTATTGAGTAGGGAAGAAACACAGACTTGTGCTTTAGAAAAATCACCGAAGTTGTTGTGTGGAGGATAGACTGGAGGGGAGAACCATGAGGCAAGGAGATCAATTAAGAGACTGTTTCAATAGTCCAGGTAAGAGATGATAAGGGCCTCAAACTAGGGTGGTGGTCATTTGAGGAGAGAGAAGACAGTTTTGTCAACAGTTTGGATATGTAGGGTGAGGAAGAGAAAAGAATCAAGGGTAATATCAAGGTTGCAAACCTGGGTGCCTGAAAGGATGGTGTTACCCTAGGCAGAAAAAGAGAATTCTGGAAGGGTGAGTTTGGTGGGGGGCACTTAAGTTCTGTTTTAGATGGGTAATGTTTCAAATATTTATGGGACATCCAGTTTGAAATGGAGCTCAGAAGAGAGACTAGGGCTAAGTATTTAGGTCTGAGAATCATCTGCACAGAGATGGTAATTAAACAAAGGAGGGCTGTTGAGGTTACCAAATGAGAGAGTATAGAAAGAGAAAAGGGGCCAGGGCAGAACTTTGGGGCATACTCACAGTTAGGGGACATTACATGGTTGACTGGCCAGCAAAGGAGACAGAAGAAGCAGACAGAAAGGTTGGAAGGAACCAAGAGAGAATAATGTCATGAAAACCCAGAGGAGAGAATATTCAGAAGAAAAGGGTAGCAAACAGCATCAAATACTGCAGAGAGGTCAAGAATGATAAGAAATGAGAAGAAGCCTTCAGATGTGACAACTAACAGGTCATAGGTATCTTTCAAAAAAGCAGTTTCAATTCAATGATTAAGTCAATAGGACACAAAGGACTTCTATCTTACGATCAGGACAAGACACCAGTTATATAAGACCCGATCTACAGTAGAAACCACTGAAATTTGTCACCCCATTCCCTAAGTCTGAGGAGGAAGCAATAGTTAATGGTCTAAGATAAGATATAGAATCTTTTCCCTGCCATTTCAACTCAGTCTACAAAGAGATCCCCAGGTCCCCTACTACTCATTAGTTGGGCCAACTTGCTGGTCAGGATGCACAAGGAACATGAAGGGGTAAGGTTCCCATTTGTAGGAAGGTATCCCAGACCACAGATACTCTCTTATGCCTTAGGATGACTGAGGATGGATACAAAGGACTCACTTTGAAGGGAGCAATTCAGCAGTTTCTGTACTAAAATAATTCAAGGAACCGGGGTGCATCTCAACCTTTCTCATTAGGAAACATGTAACTTTTTTTAAATCTACAGCCTTCTATCTATCCATCTATCTATCTATAAGCTTGTTTGAAATACAGCCACTTCTGGAGTGACTCTAGGAAGCACAGCAAGTACCATATTAACCACTCCCTCTGTACTACCCTCGCCATTTAATACAGAAAGCAAAGAAGAATAAATACATTTTTATAGAGGAAATGAAACTTGGCTAAGTGCCTTATACATGGGATAGCATCTTATCCCTGGATGATCAGACTCTGGGCTTTACTTATCACCTTTGTATGGCATTTCACTGCACTGGTGAAGAGGCAAGGAGTGCCCCACTTACACATGCTTCTTCCTCTCTGAGTCTACTCCAGATCTGTCAACTGGACAAAGATACTGGAGGGCAATGCTTCCCCAGCTGGCAGCAGAAAAAAGCACCAGACTTGGCATCAGAGACCCTGAGTTCAAGTCCTACCTACACTTGTGCTTTGGGAAAGTCAAAATTTATCTTTCTGAGCACCAGTTTCTTCTATCTACTTCACATGAAGATTAAATGAAATAATGCATGTTAAATGCTTCATAATTATAAAGTTACTATATTAATGCAGTTATTATTACTATTACATTATGCTATGCTGTTATAATGAGATATATGCTATACTATCATAATCTTAGACTACATGATTCAGAAACAATGCTAAGCTGCATTGGTGAAGGAAGCCTTCTGACCATGAGCTCCATGGAATCTCAGATCCAGTCCCATCTCCTCTAATCAACAGTAAACCTTATTCCAATGAGGTCACAGGTCTGGCACAAAAACAGAAAAGCATTAGGTTAATTTTACCTACCCCCCAAGTCCCTCCCCTTATTACCAACAAATTTCTTTAAGAGCTTTTGTAACGATTAGAATAAATGTAAATTAATTTTGACTGAAGAATCATGAGATAATCAGGACCCCATGAAGTTTCAGAAACCCAGAGCTGGAAATAGTGCCACTCACCTCCTTCTGGGCCTAAATTGCGGCTCCACATATTCTGCAGATCTCTGGGAGGGCAAGGGATCAGAAAGGCACACACTAACACCAGTATCATCGAAATCAGGACGGTGAACAAGAAGATCAGCGTGCGCACGTGAGACACAAGTGAAGATGGCGTCTTTTGCTCCAGACTGCCAAGAGGCGGTGAAGGGTAGCCCTCTGTGGTGACTTCTGACAAATGCTGCTTGGCAGGTCCCACTCCTTCTGCATCGGAATCAGGCTCTGGCCCTTCTCCCTGGGGGCTCTTCCCATTTTTGACACCCCCATTTTTCTGCTTTAGATTGAGAACAAGATCATCTTCACTTTCATCACTGTCAGCCTGGGTGAGAGGGTCATATTCCCCTAAATCTGGACTCTTCTTCCCTAAAGACAGAGAGAGCTGTCACCGTGGATGAAAAGGAAAAAAGATAAACCCCAGATGAACTCTGAGCTCTGACTTCACTGGTATACCAACTGGATGAGAAAACCCCTTCCACAATACATAGTAACAATTACTCTGCAATTTAGAATCCTAGAGAAAAGCCTAGAGCACTGAGAGCATGCATGATTTACTCAAAGTCAGGGGTGGGGAACTTGCGGCCTCAAGGCCACATGTGGCCCTCTAGGGCCTCAAGTGTGGCCCTTTGGCTGAATCCAAACTTCACAGAACAAATCCCCTTAATAGAAGTATTCATTCTGTGATGTTTGGATTTAGTCTAAGGGCCAAATTTGAGGACCTAGAGGACCGCTTGAGGCAGAAGTTTCCCCGCTCCAGCCCAAGGTCATGCCATCACTATTTGTCAGGGACGACACTTGAACACAAGTTTTCCTAACTCTAAGGCCAGCTCTCTTGTCAATCAATGCCTCTTGTATATCAATCAATCAACAAGCATTTATTAAGCACCCACTATTCACCAAGTACTAAGCTACCAGGGGCTGCTATCCACTAGGAGTAGATAGAGTGCTGGGCCTGAAGCTAGGAAGATTCACCTTCCTGAGTTCAAATCCAGCCTTGGATACTTACCAGCTGGGCACTCATCTGTAAAATGAGCTGGAGAAGGAAAAGGCAAACCACTCCAGTATCTTTGCCAAGAAAACTCCAAATGGAGTCACGAAGAGCCAGACATGACTAAAATAACTGAACCAAAGCAAATGGTAGGTAAATAGAAGAGGCAAATAGAAAGAATGAAACAATCCCTGTTCTCATTCTAATAGGAGATACAACAAGAACATAAAACTAGGTAAATACAAGGAAAATATATATGAGATAGTTAAATACAAAGTAACTAAGGAGAGAAAGCACTAGTAGCTCATAACATTAGAAAAGGCTCCATGCATAAGGTGGTGCTTGAGCTGAATCATGAAAGAAAACAGGGATGCTGTGAAGTAAAGGTGAGAAGAACATGTTTCCCATGTATGGGAGACAGCCAGTGCTAGGGCACAGAGATGAGAGGTGTTGTGATGTGTGGGGTGAAAAGCAAGGTTAGTCTGGCTGTACCATAAAGTGAATGAAGAGGAGTAACTTAAAATGAAACCAGAAACGTGTACAATGCTACTCTAATCCTTTGCTTTGACTTAGAAGTCGCTCTGCTTCCCTGAACACTATGCCAAAAGAGTATAAGCTCAGGCAGGTCCTGCCAAGCTGGCAAGGCATTTACTATAAGGCCTAGCAAGGATGATTATCTGAGCACCAGCCTAGCTAATTGCAGAGAGGATCAAGTATAAAGAGGATCAATCACTAAGTGATTGATATTTGAAGTGGTTTCCTAAAGCATGAAGAAACAGGACCATGGGAAGCTAGGCACCATAGGCAATGAGTCATCTGTGGAAAGAGAGACAAGCAGTGACCCCAACACCTGCTGAAAAAAAATGATGGCAGCAGCAGAGCAAGGTAGTTATTCTTCTGGAAGCTGATATGGCAAAAATCAAGTTGCAGGAAGCAGCAGCAGAGTCCATGAGAGAGGGGGGCAGAGGGAGGGGAGTAAAAGAAATCAGCGACTAGGGGCCATGCTGGCAAGGAGAAATGAGGCACAGGGTCCCAGCCCATACATACAATATAAAGTAACTACAAAATGAGGGAGTAGGGAGGTGAAGGAAGGAAGGGAAAAAAAGCATTTATTAACTATCTATATGCCAGCCACCGCACTAAACACTTTACAAATATCTCACTTGACCCTCACAACAACCCTAGGAAGAAGGTGCTACCCCAATTTTACAGTTGAGGAAACTGAGCAAACAGAAGTTAGGCATTCCAAGCATGAGGGACAGTCTCTGCAGAGGCAGAAGACGGAATGTGGTTGGTATACAGGGAACAATAAGTGCAATAATTTCCTGGTAGGTAGAATATATGTACAGGGGAATAATGGGAAATGATCCTGGAAAGACAAGATGGAACCAGATTATTAAGCTTTTAAATGCCAGATAAAGGAGTTTGTGTTTTATCCTAAAAGCAATGTAAAGGGCTGGAAAAGGGAAAGACTGGAAGCAAGATCCAGGACAAACCTACTTCAATAGTCCAGGCAAGAGCTAATGAGTGCCTGAACTAGCGTGTTGCCTGTGGGAGTGATGGGGAGACAGATTTAAGAGAAGTTGTAGAGGTAGAATTGACAAAATCTGGCAATTGATTGGAAATGGGAGAGTGAGGTGGAGCATATGACTCTAAGGTTATAAACCTAGGTGCCCAGAAGGATGGTAGACCCCTAAACAGAAAGTGACAGGGATACTTGTTTAGGATAATAATGAGTTCTGTTTTAGATATATTAAGTATGAGATGCCTAAAATTCATTTAGGTGGACATATAAGATTCAGCTGGGATGAGCTCATAGGATCACAGATTTAGAGCTGGAAAGGATCTCAAAGGTCATCTATATCAACTCCTTCATTTTACAAATGAAGAGACTGAGGTCCAAGGAGTCCAAAGAAATGATTTGCCAAAGCTATGGAATTCATAAGCTTCAGAGCTGGAATTTGAACCCAGGTCCTCTAACTTCAGACTTAAAACTGTGCCATGGCACCTCAAATGAGGGATGGATATATAGATTGGAAAGTCATCCAAATAGAAATGATTACTGGACACATGGTAGCTAAGAAAATCACTGAGCCTGTAGAGAGAGGAGACAACCCAAGACAGATCCCTGGGGTATGAGGATGCTTAGTGGTCAGGACATGGGTGATGATCCTGCAAAGGCAGACTGCAAAGAAGTGTCATAGTTATGAGAATCAGGAGAGAACAGCATCATAAAAATCAGGGCAGAGAGTGTGTTCAGGTCAATGGTTTTAAAAAGTAAAGAGGTTTGTTATTTGTAAATAAAGAGAACTGAAAAAAGGCCATTGGATTCTGAATTTTTTTTTAAGGGAGAGAGCATAGACTGCTTTGCCTGTTTGTCTTTCTGTACCCAGCATATGACACAGAAAAGGCACTTTAAGATGACTGCCGAATTAAAATGGATATCCAGTGCAGTTTTAGCATTAAAGTATTTTACTACTAATTGGTGATAACTGAGAATATAGTAGCTGAAAGGCAGAGTGATGTAAAATATAAAGAAATGGCTTTAAAGTAAGGAAGACCTGGGTGCAGATCTCTGATACCATAATGGCTTTTTTAGTTTAGGCAAGTCATTTAAACTCTCAGTGCTGGAGGCAACTCTCCAAGTTCATAAATTGTAGAAGAATTATTGGTCTTCATAGGGAGAAGCAGTTTCCTCACTTTCAGCTCAAGATCTTGATAAAACAATACTATAGCTATTAATCTATACACTCATCTATATCTGCATTTTAAATATCATATATGTGTTGTATATAAGGTATAAATGTGTGCATATATATACACATACACACACACACACATATATATATACACGTGTGTATACTTGCTCAAGATTCATGCTTGATAACTGAGTTATTATATAAATTAATGTATCAGTGACCTTCTAGAAAATAAGATTAGTATGTTAGACCGTATGTGCCTTTTGTAACAAGGAGCATTTTTTTTAATTAAAAAGCTTTATTTTAAGCAGTATTCAGAAGAGAATTTCTCACACTTTAAACTCAACCTAAAATAGTACTTGGGTCAAAATAATATCACTTTGATATCACTGATTAGAGGCAGTGTCATATTGGAAGGAGCACTGGATTTTAGACCCAGAAATATGGATTCTGATTCCTACTCTTTCACCGACTAGCTATTCCAGTCAAGCTAACTTTGGGCTCAATTCTCTCAACTTAAGACTTCATCATCTCGAAGGTCCCTTTGAACTCTCTGAAACACAGTAAAATCTCACCAATTCACTCTAAGTTAAAGAAAAATCATTCCAGTTTACTGAGCGGCCTAAGTTGCAGAATATTTAAGAAATATAGCTGGTTGTTTTCTTAAGCTTTTACACAATGTAACTGATAACTTGCCATATGATTTATAAAAACTAATAGAAGCTTTAACAGATAAGGAATATTTGTGTTGTTTACAAACATTCTTACAAACAACACAAACATTCTTTTAAAAACAAGGCTCTCACAAAAGTGGTCCTTAAAAACAATTCTTAGCTTCATTATAAACTAAGTTAAACATGTCTTCTTTTTTATGTCTTTTTTTTTGGGGGGGGGGGGGTTAGGCAGGGGTTAAGTGACTTGCCCAGGGTCACACAGCTAGTGTCAAGTGTCTGAGTCCACATTTGAACTCAAGTCCTCCTGACTACAGAGAAGGTGCTCTACCCACTGTACCACCTAGCTGCCCCTAAACATGTCTTCTTTACACTGTTAAAAGCTACTTACCAATTCTTTTCCCCAGATAGTATGAAGGTAAACTTCTGCCCAATCAACAAAATGCAAATTCTAAATTAGCAAAGCCATAAATTAATAAGAACTTCCTGAAGGTTCACAGAATGACACCAAGAGTAAAACACTCCTTTACCACCAAGTTTCAGCTGTGTTCTCCTTCCCCCAATATGGCTCCCTTGTCCCATTGCTCCAGAAAGCTCTATCTTGAGGAAAGGCCCAGCCCAGCCAATTTTAATTCCCAAGGGTTCATCATTATGGCCAATACAAGTACCTTCTCCTGGGTCCATCCCCTCCCTCCAACTGCTTTTCAGCTTCCTTTTAATATGTTAACTTCCACCATTAGAATAAAAGCTCCTCGAGGGCAGGAACTGCTACACACACACACACACATACATACACACACACACACACACACACACACACACCACACACACACACACACCACACTTTTTTTTTTTGCTTCTACTTGCATACCCAGTGCTTAGTATAGTGTTTGGCACAAAGTAAGTGCTTAATAGGACAGTTAAGTGGATAGAGCACCAGGCCTGGAGTCAGAAAGAGCTGAGTTCAAATCTGGCCTCAGACACATACTACCCATGTGACCCTGGGCATGTCACTTAACCCTGTTTGCCTCAGGTTCCTCATCTATAAAATCAGCTGGAGAAGGAAATGGCAAACCATTTCAGTATCTTTGCCAAGAAAAATAAAAACCTAGATGGGGTCACAAAGAGTTGGACACTACTGAAAAAAACAAACAACATAATGCTTGCAGACTTGACTTAAAGATACTAAGATAGACAATGATTTGCTCAAGATTGTTCTTAACTAACAATGCTGAATTCAAACTTCGTGCTCTAATACTTAAGTCATTTAGTGATTCTATTCTGCCAAACTTAACTATGAGTTATAGTTATAGCTTTATTTCCCCAAGATATAGCTTGATTTTCCTTGCTAAAATAAGAGAGACTCAGGAAAAGATATAAATAATCTAGTGACCTATTCAAATATATCACAGCATAGATAAAAATGAGCTTTCCACTGTGATTCATTCTTTTTCCTAAGAAAAGCAACTGAAAGGTATTGTTTATTGAGTATGCCCAAGAGGACAAATAGAAAGAGACATAAATAGGTCAGAAAGATCGGGAAGTATAAGCACAAAACTTCCCTAAATATTTCTGGGGAAACAAATCAGAGTGTGACAAATACACCTAAAGGGTGATAGGTTTAGGGGACCATGGGACACAGATTCAGCCTAAGAATATATATTTTTAAATGTCCTTAGTCCCTGGACTAAGGTCATGCTTAATTCTCAATTAAAAACCACTCATCCAAGCTTAAAACAGCCCCGAAAATCTGGAACTGATGATTAATCATCCCAATAGTACATTTTCATTGTTACTAATTAAACTCATTATATGACAATAAATCAAATGCCTTCCTCTTTCCTTCGTTTTTAATAAAAGTTTAATGGATGAAATATTCTTCAGTAGAATTTTTTTATCCTTATGCTTTGGGGTCTGACATTAACTCATTATTACCTCGGGCCCCTGTGGCCTAACTAAAGGCATTAACTGAGGAAATGATGAGATACACAGAATGACAGCTCACAGCCCCTAAGTTTCTAAACTACCACCATGCTGACTACCCCCAAAGTGTGGGACAATGAATAATCATATAAAAATTAATTTATATGAAATATAATGAAGAATAATATATATGAAATATCAAGACACCAAGAAAAAAAAATAAAGGAAAAACTGACAAAAATAGCTCTGTACTTCAGAATATAAAACAACTGGTTTCTAGATTTAGAAGGGAAAAAAGTAAGACACACCTGACTGCTTTAAACCATGTGCCTCCACACAGGAGCCTAAAGAATAAGTTGACTTTGGCAAAGTTCCACACCTTGCCAGAAGGCCAAGTTTCAGAAACTAAATACCTTGCTGAGTCTCCTAGCCCCAGGCTTAAGGGTGAGAATTGAGAACTCAATAGTTTCTGAAACAATATCCTTCCTACATCCACATCTTCCAAGGATAACTAATGACCTATGCTGACATAGAAAAAGGAATTTAAAGAAGAAATTCCAAATATTTTTGACACAGCCTTTCCCCTGTTCTGGAAGAGTTAAGTCACTTAATTTTGGAACTCCTGGTGACTGTGCTGTTCTCATCGCTGACAGTCCAATATATCTAGCCCTCCCAAGGTCTCTGACCACGCTTCTCTCTGTCATCTTGCAATGCAGCCCTGAGCACACCATCCTGCCCTGGCTTTCTAAATCATTCCCTGGGATCAGTATTCAAATTAACACTACCACTACTTCTGGAAAGAGCCATTCAACCCTTAGCCCTATGATTCCAATTCACTCACCATTCCAGTAACTTTTTTAACTAAAATACTCTTCCCTAGTCATAACTCCCCCAACTAGAATTCAAACTCATAGTAGGCAGGGATTGTCTCTCTTTTATAGCTATATCCCCAACACTTAGCACAGTGCCTTCATAGTATGAGCTTAATTCATGCATTCACTCCTGATCTCCAAACCTTGAGAGATACCAGACCAGAATGCAGTAGGTTTTCATTCATATAGAGTCAATCAGTCTCAACACATAAAGGTATGTGCAACTTGCTAAATTTAAATCTCCCTGTATATTTAGTCCCTCATAAGAGAAGCAGTGTGGTGTAGATAAAGTTGTTGTTCAGTCCTGTAAGATTGTGACCCCAATGGAGATTAAACTTGGCAAAGATACTGAAGTGGTTTGCTATTTCCTTCTTCAATTCATTTTGCAGATGAGGAAACTGAGGTAAATAGGATTAAGTGACTTGCCCAAGGCCACCCAGCTAGTATTTGAGGCCAGATTTGAACTCAGGTCTTCCTGATTCCAGGCCCTGTGCTCTTTCCACAGCACCAGTAGATAGAGAGCCAATCTCAAAAGCCAGGACCATGTGGGTTCAGGTCCTACCTCTGGTTATGTGACCCTGGGCAATTCATTTAACCTCTCAGTGGCCTAGGCAACTCACTAAAATATATATGTAGCAGAGAAAGTGCTGACCTGTGTTGGTACAGGGAATTCTTTATATAAATGAAATTACAGGTCTATTCCTTGTTTCTACATAGACTCTCTGAGATATCACATTAATAATTATCCCAATGTCCTTGTGACCTGGAATGCAAGTACCAATAAAAAGATTGGCTTTAGGTGAAAGGGAAAGTTTGGATACAAAACAGACTCTCACTTCCAATGCTAAGACTACAACACCTGGTTGCATAAATTAGGCTGCCAACTTCAGAATAGTAAGGGCCCAAGTCAGAGTGTTATGTTAAGGAACAAACGATTTTTGATGAAGCCAGTGAAGGGATTAACTTTTCCCATTATCAGTTTAACGTCAATGTTAAGGATATATATATATATATATATATATATGTATGTATGTATGTATGTATGTATGTATGTATGTATGTACATGTATATATGTATATAGCTGGATTACTTTTCTTAAAGAGAAGCGTTTCGATCAGACAAAACAAATGCCTGGGTTGTTATTTGAGTGTACATCTGTATTTCTGTTAGAGGAAAACTAAAGCATAGTCTCATCCTGGTGATGACAGGGGACTCATTCTGTAAATCCAGCAGTTCCGGGGACACCATCATCACTATCAACTCCTGAGATACCTTCTTCAGGATTGCAAAACCTCAGCTGACAAAGGGAACAGAAATGAACGCCTCCACGCTCACTTTCAGGTCGTCACCTTCCTCCCCCTCCCCCATTCTCCACCTCCTACGTCTGACAAGAAAAAAAAAGAAAAGAAAAAAGCCTGGCGCTCTGGTTTGAGCCCTGCACCCCATCCCCCATTCGGCTCCGCAGAAAGTGCTGGGGAAGAGGAAACCTTGAGTCTTGGGGTTCAGACCTTGCCTGGCTCCTGCGTCCCGGCCGAGCACCGGTCACCAGCTGGTTGGGGCGGCAGCCGCGGCGGCCCCTGACGCTGGTGCTGACCCTGGTGCTGGGGCGGGTGCTGAGGCTGATGCTGGTGCTGAGGCTGATGCTGATGCTGATGCTGAGGATGCTGGGGCTGATGCAGGCGCCACGCCTGGGCCCCTCACACCGTTTCCTCCAGCCGCAGCCGCTCGCCCCATCCCGCTCCCGGGCACGCACATCCACCCAGGACTCTCTCAAACATGAACCCTATTTCCTGGGGTCCCTTTCCCCGAACCTGGTCAACGAGAGGACCCCGCGAGAGGCGCGGGGAGGTGCCCGTGTCCCCAGGACACGCCGGCCGCCGGCGACCCCCAGGACCCGGCTTCTGCTGCCTCTACTTTCCTCAGCCCGGATCTCCGCTCCTCCTCCCCACTGAGGCGGGGCACTACACCCTGGGGTCTGCCCGGCTTCCTCCTCCTCTTTCCCCGCCCCCCGCCTGAAGGTGATGTGAGGGGCGGGGGCGGGGTGGTCCAGGAGACCTGTCGCCTTACCTGGGAGCTTGAGCGCACGGGACAGCACGGTCGCCATAGCTGAGGGTACTAACGCGCGTGCGCAGAGCCCCGCAACCCGACGGGAAATGAAGTTCCCCGGAGGCCGAGGCTTAGGGGGAGCGTGGGGCTGGGCTCTGCGGAGAAGAGCTCAATTGCAGTCTAAGAGCTTGTAAGCCGCTGCATCTCAGGGTCCCTCCGAAGGGATCTCTGAGCACAGCCTTTTACAGCGAAACAGGCTCTGACTGTAAAAGGCACGGTACTTAAGCATGCTATTAAATGTGGGCCCAGCAGCGGTCTACCCCCGCTTCCCCCTTCCTCCTCCCCTCTTTTTTCTCCTCCCATCCTCCTGCCTTTTTCCCCTCCTCTTTCTCTCCTCCTCCTCCTGTCCTCCCACCCTCCTCCCCTCCTTCCTACCTTTCCTCTCCCTCCCCTTTCCCCTCCTCCCTCCCCCGTATCCTCCTTCTCCCCTCCCTTCCCAGGTGGATCTGGCAGTGGTTCACCTCCACCTCCCTCTTCCTCCCCTACACTCCCCTCTCTCCCCTCTCTCCCCTCTATCTCCTTCCTCCTTTCCTTTTGTTCATCCTTGCCTCTTCCTCTTCCTTCCCTTTTCTCCTCTTCCTGCCCTTTTCCCCTCTTCCTGCTCTTCCCCTTCTTTCTCTTCCTTCTCCCTTCTGCTCTTTCTCATTTTTCGCCTCCTCCACCCTCTCCCCCCCTTCCTCCTACACCCGATTCTTCGCCACTCCTCTTTCCCTTCCTCCTCATCTTCCAATTTATACACACATACACACACACACCTCTATAGATACATGGGTCTGAACTATCCTCTCTCCAAGCTGACTAGACAATTTCCCTGGTCCTGGGCCAAGACAGAGCAAGTGGCAGCTGGGCATACACAGAAAAGGCCTGGTATTTTCTAGGCTGCAGGTTCTTTGGGTGTAATCTCCCTCTCTCCCTCCCCCATGACATCACACACTTACCACTTTGTTTCTCTTACACGGCAGCCTGGACATTTTTCCAGAGGGAAACAGATATGGGAGAGTCTAACACCAGCTTTGTGTTCCCTACTTCCATTCAGTTAACCTGGAGGTTGAGATCACCCTAACCTAACTTCACCCTATGAGCCTGAGTAGCATTAGGTTTTATTTGGAAAGTTATAGACCCACTGCAAAAAAAAGAAAAAAGAAAAGAAAAGAAAAAGAAAATCAGTCTCACAAGACAAAATGGTCTTCAATCTTGTGCTTCTTCAATGATGGAAGAATGTTAGAAATAGCCAGCATTTACATAATGCTTTAAGGTTTGCAAAACATTTTACATGTCTACATGCTGTCCTCACAACCTTAGCAGATACGTGCTATTATTATCCGTTTTTAACATATAAGGAAACTGAGGCATAGAAAGGGTTAACCGACTTGCCCAGGCAAACTCAGGTCTTCTTAAGTCCAAGTCCAGCATTCTATGCACTGGTCAAATAGTGCTAAAGGCACAATTTAGGCCACCCATCAACATTAACTTTGTTGCTTGTATTCTAAATGTAATATCCTCGGCAGCAGCCAATCAGTGCATATACTAATGTTGTTGTCTCTGTTTGGGGTTTTCTTGGCAAAAATACTGGAGTGGTTTGTCATTTCCTTCCCTAGCTCATTTTACAGATGAAGGAACTGAGGCAAACAGTTATGTGACTTGCCCAGGGTCACGGACCTAGTGTCTGAGGCCATGTTCAAAAAAGTCTTTCTGATTCCAAGGCCAGTGCTCTATCTACTGGGCCACCCAGATATCCCAAACCAAATCGTATTAATCATGACATTCTTGCTATAAACCAGAGGGAAGTGGCAACTAAATTGGAAAATCATTAAGAGTCTTCTTGGAGAGGCAATAAAGGAGTTGATAGTGTTGCTTCCATTCTGCACCCAAAAGCAATTATGAAACTTCATTTCATTTCATGGCCAACTCATGTCGTAGCAGTCACGATTTAAGGGAGGTAAATCCTCAAGCAGAGGGTCAGCCCGTTGAAGGGATGTATGTAGATAAATAAGATCTAGAACACCCAATTTTACCACCTCCAAGAATGACTGCCATTTCCACCTTTGGGCAGAGCAGGAGGAGGGCTTTGACTGGGCATTGACTCCTCCACTCTCTAATCTCCAAGAAGAGTATTGGGCTGGAATTACATCCATCTATTACACATCAAATATTTGCAGTCTATGGGTACAATGATCTTTTAGGGGTTTAGAATAAAAGCCACTTCCCCTGGTTGCTCTAAAAGGAAGGCTGGTAGCTTACTCTCAGCCAGTTTACTCACTCCCACCAAATGCTTGTTACACAACAATTGTGGATAGTGAATAAACACAACCATGGACTTTCTACTGAGCTATGATCATTCTTCTCCAATTATCTCACATTTAGCATGTCCAAAACAGAACTCATTATCTTCCCCTCCAAACCTTCCTCCCTTCCAAACCTCCTATTGCTATAGAATGTGCCCTTTCTCCCAGTAACACCCAGCCCCATAACCTCAATATCATCCTGGAATCCTCACTCTCTAATACACATCCCACATATTCAATATATTGCCAAATAACTCTTTTAGCTGGTCTCTCTACCTCAAGGCTCTATCCACTCCAGTCTATCTTCCATCAAGCTGCCAAGGTGATTTTTCTAAACCATATGTCTGATAATACCTCATGTGCCTCACTGTTGGAAAGTTAGTCATTGTTCATGATAATATGATACTTATGACTATATTATATAATAAAAATTATGATACTCCCTAAATCAATTTGTAGCTTTGATGTTATACTCATCAAATTATCAAAGAGTTATTTCTTAGAGCTAGATAAAATAATGAAATGAATTTGTAAAACTGAATGGTCTAGATTAGAATATCAATGGAAATGATGTAAAGAAGTAGAATTAAAGAAGAAATAGCCCTCCCTGGACCCTAATTACATTATTAAATAATAATGATCAATTTGGTACTAGTTTTTAAAAATTGAGAAGTAGATCAATGGAACAGACTAGATAAATAAGAATCAAAGAGTCAACTCAGTAGCCCTGTGTTCCTAAACCAAAGAATATAAATTACTTGTGAAATAATTCTTTTTGACAAGAATTTCTGGGGAAACTTAAAAACTAGTTGACAGAAATTACATTTAGACCCACATCTTATACCCTATGCCACAATTACAAAAGGATATGGCAAATATGAAAGGGCACATCATTGAAAAATTAGAGGAAAATAGAGGGAGGCAATTCTCATAGCTATGACTTGGGGGGAAATTTTTAACCAAACAAGAGGTCAAGTATATCACAGAAGATAAAACACACAATTCTGATTGCATGAAATTAAAAATATATATATTTCATGAACAAAATCAATGCGCCTAGGATTGGAAGGCAAACTGATGATTTAGGGGGAAAAATCATTGCATAAAATATCTCAGATAATGGTTTTATAACAAAGTATCTAGAGAATTAATACAAATATATAAGATAATAGAGTCATTTCTCAGTAAATAAGTGGGCAAAGTTTGGACAAACAGTTCTTAAAAGAATTGCAAATTTTTTTTAATACTAAATTTATTTATTTATTTATTTATTTGTAGTTTTACAACATTCACTTCCATAAGATTTTGAGTTCCAAATTTTCCCCCCATCTCTCCCCTCACCCCACCCCAAGACAACATATAAATTGATATAGGCTCAACATGTGCATTCATATTAAACCTATTTTCACATTAGTTATGTTGAAAAGAAGCATTAGAACCAATGGGGGAAACCATGAAAAAGAGGAAACAAAAATGAGAGAGAGCAAATAATATGCTTCAATCTGCATTCAGACTTCATAGTTCTATTTCTGGATGTGGACAGCATTTTCCACCATGGGTCTTTTGGAGTTGTCTTAGATCTTTGCATTGCTAAGAAGAGATAAGTCTATCAAAGTTAGTCATCACACAATATGGCTGTTACTATGTATGATGCTCTCCTGGTTCTGCTCACTTCACTCAGCATCAGTTTATATAAGTCTTTCCAGGTTTTTCTGAAGTCTACCTGCTCATCATTTCTTATAGGACAATAGTATTCCATTACATTCATATACCACAGTGTTCAGCCTTTCCCCAATAGATGAGCATCCCCTCAATTTCTGATTCTTTGCCACCACAAAAAGAGCTACTATAAATATTTTTGTACATGTGGGTCCTTTTCCCATTTGTATGATCTCTTTGGGATACAGACCTAGAAGTGGTATTGCTGGGTCAAAGGGTATGCATAATTTTATAGCCCTTTGGGCATAGTTCCAAATTGCTCTCCAGAATGGTTGAATCAATTTACAACTCCATCAACAATGCATTAGTGTTCCAATTTTCCCACATCTTCTCCAACATTTATCATTTTCCTGTTTTGTCATGTTAGCCAATCTGATAGGTGTGTTATAGTACCTCAGAGTCGTTTTGATTTGCATTTCTCTAATCGATACTAATTTAGAGCATTTTTTATATGACTATAGATAGCTTTAATTTCTTCCTCTGAAAACTGCCTGTTCATATCCTTTGACCATTTATCAATTGGGGAATGACTCATATTCTTATGAATTTGACTCATTTCTCTACATATTTTAGAAATGAGGCCCTTATCAGAGACACTGGTTGTGAAAATTCTTCCCCAGCTTTCTGCTTCCTTCTAATCTTGGTTGCATTGGCTCTGTTTGTGCAGAAACTTTCAAATTTAATGTAATTGAAGTTATCCATTTTGCATTTCATAATGTTCTTTATATCTTGTTTGGTCATAAATCCTTCCCTTTTCCATACATCTGACAGGTAAACTATTCCTTGCTCTCCTAATTTGCTTATAATTTCATCCTTTATGTCTAAATCGTGTACCCATTTTGACCTTATCTTGGTATACAGTGTAAGATGTTGGTCTATGCCTAGTTTCTGCTCTGTTGTTTTCCAGTTATCCCAGCACTTTTTGTCAGATAGTGAGTTCCCATCCTAAAAGCTGGAGTCTTTGGATTTATCAAACAGTAGGTTACTATAGTAATTGACTACTGTGTCTTGTATACCTAACCTATTGCACTAATTTGCCACTCTATTTCTTAGCCGGTTCCAAGTAGTTTTGATGATTGCTGCTTTATAACACAATTTAAAATCTGGTATGGCTAGGGCACTTTCCCTTGCATTTCTTTTCATTAATTCTCTTGATATTCCGGACCTTTGTTCTTCCAGATGAATTTTGTTATTATTTTTCTAGCTCTATAAAATAATTTTGGTAGTTTGGTATAGCACTGAATAAGTAAA